GCTGGGATTATAGGTATATCCCCACGTTGGTGTCTTGAGGCCCAGCCCAGCCATGACAGAGCATGAGGTAAACAGAATCCCAGGCTCTTGTTCTTGGCAGGAGTGGGATGCTGGTACTTTTACAGGTGGCCTGGGTGTTGTGGCTCCTGGGCCAGCCACTGAAGGAAGGCTTGTGTTCACCTCTGTTGGAAAGGGCCTGGGCTGTGAAGTGGGGTGTGGCCCTGAGGCTGGGCCTTTTCATGTTGTCTCAGTCTCCTAGGGAGCTTGGCTTTGCCTCTGAGAGGCAGGAGATTAGCCTCAGGACCAGGCAGGGGCCCAGGCTGGACACCTGGCTATGAGCAGTACCTCTGCCTGGGCTTGCTCTGACTCACCCTGGTTGCCGTCTTGCCTGAGCATCCCACAGGATACCTGTAGGCGAAGTGTCAAAGTCTGCGAACTCTCTGTGCCTTCTGCTGAGGCTGAGGAAACGGCGCCTGGGACTTGTGTGCTGAGCATGTGAGGGTGGAGTTAGACGGTGTGATGAGCTCACTGTGCAGTTCCTGTCTCAGCCTCAGGGTCCGGGGAGCTTCCCAGAGGAAGCAGTGTCTGTGACCTGAAGGATGAGGAGGTCTTTGCCAGAGGAAAAGGATGGAAAGGTCTCATAGGCAGCAGTTCGTCTTGCTTGGAGACTTAGAAGCAAAGCAGGACTAGCACGTTGCAGGCCCCAACTGTGTGGTTCAAGCGTGGCATTCTGGGAGAGGCAGTTGGACTTGTGAGTGAGGTAAGGAGTTTAGACTTTGTTCCATGACAGCATTTTGGATGTTCACCTGGAGCTCAGGGCCTTGTTGGGATCTGTCCTACCCTTGCGGGGAGACGTACAAGCTTCGACTCACACCTCTGTTCCTAGGGCTAAGCTGGTGGCCCTGGGTTGGTCCAGGTTTAAGAGCCGGAGCTTGGAGCGAAAGTCTCTGAGGGCCAGTGTGTTCTGCAGTCAGTCCTCAGCCTCAGGTCAGCGCTGAACCCCTGTGGGGCTGCACACCTCCTCCTTGGCCTGTGTGACCTTGGCGCACAGCAGTCTTTTTCTCAGATGAACACAGTGAATGTCCCAAAGGACTGGCAAGTGGCCAGCTCCCTCAGAGGCCACAGTGGTCTTTTGTCTGTGATGAGGGCTCACTGGACTCTCCTGGGTAGGTCAGTGTTGGGTCTGCAGCTGAGTTGCTGATGGCATGCGAGGAACCATATGTGTTGGAGCCACCATCCCTGCAGAACAAGGTGACCAGACCATAGAGTACCTAAGACCTTTCTAGTACCTTCCCCTCCTGTGTGTGCAGAGACCATTTTTGGGTTCAGGACTGCTTTCTTTTCTTGGCTCACACTACTTCTGTAGAACTCACGACTGCCTGCTTGCAAGGCAGGCGCTTATGCCGCTGAGCTAAATCCCCAGCCCCTGAGAAAGTGCTTTTTACTACAGATGTTTTCTTGAAAGCCTCATAGGTCCGAAGTTGGGGTCTTTCACCGTGTCTTCAGCCCTGAGAGACCCATGTGCTGGTCAGGCACAGGTTGCAAGAGAGAGGAGCCTGGAGAAAGGAAAAATGAAGAGAGCCTGACAGTCAGTCTGAGCAACAAGATGGGTTGCAGGAGTGGGGCCCGTGGTGCTGTGGGTTTCCTTTTACAGTGCGCTTGCATCCGTTGTCAGAGGCCCCGAGGATGATCCCAGGGGTGAGCCGCCTGCAGGGGTTTCTCCATACTTCCTCTTCCCTGCATCTCTGGAACTTAGCCCAGTCTGTAGGTTGACAGCCTTTGGAGAAGGTGGCTTCCTTCCTCTTCCTTGCTGTGAGGAAGGCCAGGCTGGTTTCCTTCCACCCAAGGGACAGAGGAATGGGGGAGGGGCAGAAGAAATGGAGGAAGTGGCTCAGTCTTGTCCCCGAGTTTCAGGCTGAAAGGTACCAGTGGGCGCTGACAGCTGGAAGGCTCCCCCAGCAGCAACAGAAGTGGGCTGAAACAAAGGGGGTTTCAGGGGTAGGAGAGCCCAAGCCCAGGGAGTGGGGGGAGGTATTGTATATGGTGTTCTGCAGCCGGACCTCACACGGCCTGCTGGACCCCTCTGGGGTGTGGTTCCTTTCCTGCTTCCTGGCAGATGAGGGTCTCCCTGCTGTATTTGGGCAGTGAGCTGTAAAAAAGTGTGCACAGTGGGACGTGGGGTCTTGGTGCATTGTGGGAATGAGGAATGAGTTTGGGGGGAGAGGGACATACCTGTGTTTAAATGCTAGCTCTGAGACATAATTATGTGTGACCACAGCAAGCTGCTTATCCTTTCTAGAAAATGGAGGTTAAAAGAGCAATACTTGTCCTATAAATTGGTTCTGGAAATGAAAAAGAATGCAAAGCACTTCGGACTCTCCTGCCACAGCACATTATTATTATTGCTACTGCTGCTCAGCGCCCTTGGCCTGGGTGGTCTCCTCTCCTCTCTGCCTAGGTTCTCAGGCATTTTCCACTCTTCCCATCTCTCAGGTTATGATCTTTCTTCTTTGGGGGACCCAGGCCTTGTATCTGTGACCCTGCTACTCTCAGCGCCAGTGGGGGTGGCAGGGAGGCTTCTGCAGCTGACGCAGCCTCCTCTAAACCAGGACCCTTGATTTGTTCTAAGTTGCAGAAACCTACTGTTGGTGTCCTGAGTGTTGGCCTTCCTTGACATGCAGGGATGGTAGTGGGTAGGAGGCTGAGCAGCTGAGCCCAGCCCTCTGGGCCTACATCTGGCCTCCAGCACCTTTCCTGAGCAGGCACAGCCAAGTCCTGGAGCCCCATTCACAAATACTGCTCCCATCTCCCCCAAGCCCTGCATCAAACTGTGTGTGCCCACTCCCCACTGCTCCCTCTATAAAGCATTCGTGGCACGTGCACCCAGGCCTGCCTGCCACGTGGGCCTCCCTGCCACGCAGGCCTCCCCTTGCTTCATGCCCCAATCCCTTTCTGTGGTCAGGAGGCGACAGGGTTGTGACGCCCGAGGCAGGGTGCCTGTGAACACTAGAGCTTGTGGCCAGCCCCTAGAGGCACGTGGGTCTCCTGCACTCCCAGCTACCCCTTCCTGCCTTGCTTCTGCAGATTCACGCTGTGCTTCCAGTTCACTGGGCTTGAGCCTCCTGTGGAGAGGCAGAACCAGCTCCAGATAGTCCCACCCTGGAGATGCTTTTAGAGTGGGGCTGGCCTTTGGGTTTCTGCTCTGAGTTGGATTGGCTGTCAGGGAGAATTTAAAAGCCAGAGAAATGAGTTTGTTCAAAAGATTGTTTCTCGGCGGCATAAATGCCTGCCTTGCAAGCAGACAGTCATGAGTTCTATCCCTGGTACCGGTAAAAACGAAGAAGACAAAAAAAAAAAAAGATTGTTTCTCAGACCCCCTGCTCTCCCTTCTTCCTCAAATCACTGCCCTCCTGCTGAATGCTCTGCTGGTCTGTCTCCCTCCCTGTTGGAAACTTCCATAAATAAAGACAAAGGGATTGCACACCAGCAGGGTCTCTCACTACCTTCAGGGCTGGGAGCTGAGGAAGGAAATGGAGGAGGAAGTTACTCTCCTTCTGGGTGCTGGGTGAAAGTGAAAGACAAGGAGGGCCCCCCTTCCCTCCCGTGAGTCACACCAGGAAGGCTGGCAGGCCCGGGAGCAGGGCGGGAGCTGCGGAAATGTGCAGAGGAGCGATAGTGCCGGCCCAGGGGCGGAGGTAGCTGGGTGTCCATGGGGCTCTGTACCCGCCCAGCTCGTGCCCTCTGCTGGTTTCCTGCTATCAATGACCTGGAGCATCCAGGGACTAAGGTCACCTGGACCTGCTGATTTATCCTCCATAGCAGCCTGAGCTGACCATCCTGCCTGTCCCCTCCCAGGCCTAGTGACCCAGGGCTAGAGCGTTACATTGGCACTCCCAAGTAACCTACCTCCCACCCTCACTACCTTCCCACCGAGGAAGAAAAACAAAAAACAAAACTGAAACAAAATCTGTCTGAAGGAAGAAAGTCTAAAAATACATGCAAACAGTTCTGTCAATTATAAAATAGAGGCCTAGACTCTGTTCTGTAGCTGGATCAGTAGAGCGAATCTTTAAAAAAAAATTAAGTTAGAGGGGACTGGGATGTGGCTTGGTGACAGAGCATGTGCTTAGCTTTTTTGAGGCTCTGGGCTCCATCCCTAGCATATCCCCCACCCCCATAACTTATCAAACAAAAACTGTGAGTACTTTCATCACAACATCATGGAGAAACTTTCTGGACTTAAGTTGTAGCAGTCTGTACCTCATATCCAAGTTAGGTGATTTGCTTGGAATTCCAGGGTCTCCAGCCCTTGGGGCAGGAGTACCCGCACCAGCTGCCGACCAGCTTCTGTGCTAGATTGGGCCTCTAACCAGCCAGGGCTGCAAAACAGGTTCTGAACTAATTGAGAAAGACTGGGGTAGCCGGAGCCCCACCTACCAGTTCTTCTCAGGGGTGGGGTCTCCCCTACATGCCTCTGTGAGCCTGGCTTTGGGCCCTACAAGGCCTGTACAGTGGGGCTATACAGGAGAGGTGGTGGTGCTGGGAATGAACTCTGTCCTTCCCACTTCCTGTGTCTGGGATGTGCTTGGAATGTCAGGAGGAGGCACTGTCTGGCTCTGGTGGGAAGCTGTTGTGTAGACAGATGTGCAAAGATGACCCAGCCTGACCACCCAGTGGGCTGGGGCCTGGGTTGAGGGGACAAGGGAACCTGATGCAGCCTTTTTCCTTCAGGGGCTTAGGCTGGATGTCAGCCCCACTCAAGCCCTCTCCATGTGCCTTTGTGCAGTGTACAGATTACACAACGAAGGGCAGCAGTTCTAGAGCCTAACCAGGAAGTGGTAGGACAAATGATGGAGGTCCTCACAGATGCTACTGAGTCTGCTGCCTTCCTGGCGGCTCCCCTGTGGGTCCCGGCTCCTCTGTCACCAGTGCTGCTGTGGAACCGGAAGGGATGCTGACACCAGGGATCTGTAGCTAACACTGTCACGTTCTCTCTGCAGCCTCCAGGACCCTGTGGAGCATCATGAACTGGGAAGAGTAGCTGCACCTCTCTGACAGAGGAAGGAAGAACAGGTCTCTGCCCGCGGCTGACTCCACTGTTCAGTGTCTTCCTCTGCTCCCTCCCTGTCCTCACTGGTGTCAGGACTAGGCTTCTAGCAGGACCTTTCCCCAGAGAATGGGCAACTGGTGAAGCAGCTGTCACTACTGGGGCTCAGTTGACCACACCATGAGCCTCCAGGCCCAGCCCAAAGCTCAGAACAAGCGCAAACGTTGCCTCTTTGTTGAGCAGGAGCCAGCTCCCAAAGAGCAGCCGCCGTCTCTACAGGCCCCACCTCAGTCCATCCGCGTGAAGGAGGAGCAGTACGGAGGGCCCGAGGGTCCAGCAGGAGCTGCTTCCACCTCTCAGCCTGTGGAGCTGCCACCTCCCAGCAGCCTGGCTCTGCTGAACTCGGTCGTGTACGGACCTGAGCGGACCCCAGCAGCTATGCTGTCCCAGCAAGTGGGCCCAGTGAAGTGGCCCAACTCTGTGATGGCTCCAGGGCGGGGCCCAGACCGTGGAGCAGGTGGGGGTGTTAGTGACAGCAGCTGGCAGCAGCAACCTGGCCAGCCACCACCTCACTCCGCATGGAATCGCCTGTCCCTTTACGGTGGACCCAAAGGGAGCCCTCATCCCGGTGTGGGGACCTCTGCCTACTACAACCACCCCGAGACACTGAAGCGGGACAAAGCAGGGGCCCCACAGCTGGACCGCTATGGAAATGCAGTGCGGCCCATGATGCCTCAGAAAGTGCAGCTGGAGGGGGGACAGCCTCAGGTGCCCGTAAACTCTTTCCACACAGCCAAGAAACCCCCAAACCAGACACTGCCCCTGCAACCCTTCCAGCTGGCATTTGGCCACCAGGTGAACCGGCAGGTCTTCCGGCAGGGCCCATCGCCTCCCAACCCTGGTGCTGCCTTCCCCCCGCAGAAGCAGCAGCAGCAGCATCAGCAGCAGGCCGCCCTGCCCCAGATGCAGCTCTTTGACAACTACTATCCCATTCAGCAGCCACCCTCCCAGCAGCCCCAGGACTTTGGCCTGCCACCAGCAGGACCACTGGGGCAGTCCCACCTGACCCACCACAGCATGCCCCCTTACCCTTTCCCCCACAACCCAGATATGAACCCAGAACTGCGCAAGGCCCTCTTGCAAGAGGCAGCCCCGCAGCCTGTGCTACCTCAGCCCCAGATCGCCTTTCCACGCCGCTCCCGCCGCCTCTCAAAGGAGGGGATCCTGCCTCCCACCGCCCTGGATGGGGTTAGCAACCAACCTGGGCAGGAGCCCACGAGCAATCTGTTTCTTCCTCATTGGTCTCTGCAGCAGCCGCCTCCTGGCTCCCTAGGGCAGCCTCATCCCGAAGCTCTGGGATTCCCGATGGAACTGCGAGAGTCACAGCTGCTGTCTGATGGGGAGAGACTGGCACCCAATGGTCGGGAACGGGAGGCTCCCGTCATGGGCTGTGAGGAGGGCCTGAGGGCAGGGGGCACAGGGGACTGTGGGCAGGTGCTACGAGGTGGGGTGATCCAGAGCACAAGACGGAGGCGCCGGGCATCCCAGGAGGCTAATTTGCTGACCCTGGCTCAGAAGGCAGTGGAGCTGGCCTCACTGCAGAACACAAAGGTGAGACGAGCATTGGGGGCCAGACCTGGCAGGGGCTGGGGCAGGGGGTAGCAACGCTACTAGACTCAACAGCAAATGGGCAGCTCATTGAAGGAAGTTTAGGAGCCGCTACATGCAGAGGGCGCCTACCCAAGGCATCTGTACCTGAAAGAAAGCCGAGGTTTATACACACGGAGGGTTGGCAGGCAGAAGAGTGGTACCTGATGATTGAGAGTAGGGGGACAAAAGGCCATTTCCAGATGCAGTATGCTAGAAGACAAGAAGGTGGAGGTGGTGGTTACACAGTGATCACATTTTTCAAAATACTTTGGAATGTGGTTTCAAATAGGTGTGCTTATTGCATGTAAATTATACCATACTTTATTTTTAAGAAATCTAATAGTGATAGGAAGGGAAGAATAAATAGATAAGTACACTATGTTGTGCTTGGAGGCTTTTTTTTTTTTATGCCTGATCACAAATAATTTACCATCAAACCGAGTGAGGAGGGTTCTGTCATCTATTCCTGTCTTCTCATAAGAGAAGCTGGGCCCCGAGTGGGATCTCCCAGGGTCACACAGCTGGAGTAGAAACCTTGTGTCTGATCCCAGAGCTAGTGTGTGCCTTTCTTCCCCCAGAAGTCTCACTGCCGATGCCTTTAGGGCCAGCCTGATATGTGGGAGGATGCAGTTTGTCCTGTGTTTAAGGACAGCCAGATTCCACACTTGCTAGGTACCCATAGAGACATAGATGCAGAAATTACCTTTACCTTGCCACAGCTTCCTTGCTAACTTTGTTTTGCAGTTACTTAAAAAAATATTTAGATGCTATGTCATGTGCCCGCACTATGCAGACCAAATGAAACATTTGGGAGTCTCTTATGGCCTGAGGTGGATTTCTGGGGCCACCCCTGCTTCAGGATGGAAGGAGAGGTTGTAGAGAGTATTTGCACTGTGGTAGGAGAGATGGTCAGGTCAGGGAAAGGCCAGGTTGACAACAGTGGGATCCACTGTGGGTATTTCAGTGCCTGGATTAAATAGGTTAGCAAATCAAGACTCATCTTTCTCTCTTCCCCTCAAACCCCCTTTTCTCCAGGATGCCAACTGTTCTGAGGAGAAGCGGAAAAGTGTGTTGACCTCGACTACCAAGTGTGGGGTGGAGTTTTCTGAGCCATCCTTAGCTGCCAAGCGAGCACGAGAAGACCCTGGGCTGGTGCCCCTCATCATCCCAGTGTCTGTGCCTGTGCGGGCTGTGGACCCAACCGAGGTGGCCCAAGTTGGAGGTGTTGATGAAGATGGGAAGGATCTGAACCAGCACCCCACTGAGCACAAGCCTTCAGTTATTGTCACCCGCAGGCGGTCCACCCGTATCCCTGGAACAGACGCTTCAGCTCAGGTAAGAGGCTGCTTTTCCAAACCCCTTGAGGGCGTGTGTATTCCCTGGACCTTGGACCCTATGGGAAGCAGGAGAAAAGGACAGTGTCAGAGGGCTTCAGGGAACTAATGGTGCTAAAATTTTTATTTTCTAAACCAAACTGCTGGATGGAGAATGAATCAGGTTTATACTGGAAATTAAAATCATCTAGGAAAATGTTGAATGTGTGAATCTCTTTTTGGGGGTGGGGTTCAGAAATTTTGACTGATTTCTAATGTGGTTTGCTTGTTCTGTCAGGACTGAGATGTGTCCCTTAAAATCTCCCACCTTGATTGAGGATTTACCTATTTTTTTCTTTTACCCTTATCATTATTTTCTGACAATAAATTAGAGAGGTACTCAGTATTCTTCATGTAGGGAGTATTTTTCAAGTGGAGTTGTTAATTGTTAAACCCCAGTTGTTAGAGTATAACAACTTTTGTCTTCTAATTTAACATCAATACAGTTTGCACTTTTTTAGTTAGTTACTAATAAAAATGATTTATGCATGACATACAAGATGATGTTTTGATATAGGTTATGACTATATCAAGCTAATTAACATATTCATTACCTCAGATACTTCTTTCTTTCCCCTTACTAGGATTTTAGGGCCTTTGTCTGAGCTGCAGCTGTGAAAAAAAATTTTTTTTTAAAGTTTGAGACTGGGTTTGGCTAAGTCACTAAGCTGTCCAGATTGGGTTTGAACTTTTGATTCTCCTGCCTGAACCTCCCAGAGTGCTGAGATTATAGGTGTTTACTGTGTATATTTACTTTTTCTGTGTGGTAAAAACATTTCAAATTTGCTCTTACTAATTTCTAATTATACAATACACTGTTATTAATGAAAATGTTGTGCAGTAGGTCCACTGAACTTATTCCTCCTAAAATGATATTTCCTTTGACCAGCAGCTTCCCAGTCCCTACTCCAAACCCCAGGCTTTGGTAGTCACCATTCTCCTTTCTGTTTCTATGAGGTCTACTTTTAGAAATTCTGCAGGGGCCAGGGGTTTAGCTCAGTGGTGTAAGCACCTGCCTGGCAAGTGCTAGGTGAGATTCCACTGATGCAGTTCTGAAACAGCTGGGCTGAAATCTGCCGTGTACTGTTAGCTTTCTGTTTATCCCATCCTGCTTTTCCTATGGTGTGTCCCTTTTCCCTCCTTTCCACTGGTATTCCATTTCTTAATTTATTAGATAAATACTTAAGTATTTCTCTTTAGTGATCACTGTAGTATCTCTTACCTAGATATCTGCAGAAGAATGCAGCCCCCTACAGAAAGGGATTTGAGTAACTATTTTCTCAGTTGTCTAATGGATGCTGTGTGACTAGGTACCATTTGGGATACATGAGGAAAAAGTGAGCGGATTATATTTAGTGAAGGCCTTGTAACTTGGGGCTTAATTCCCTGATTGAGAAGGCTGCTTGCTAGAGATTGAAAACATTTATCCTAGACTTATTGAGATCCATTATAAGCTAATATTTTTATCTTTTTCTGGATAATACAAAGTTCTTTTCTTTTTAATACAAAGTTCTTTTAAGGCCTTAATTCTATTTTTCCACTTAACCCTGACTGGTAGCATTTTCATGAACATAAGCAGGACGTTATGACATTATTGTTTTATTTCGTGATTTAATTTAGATTTACCCCAACATTTGTTTTTGTTATTGTTCATTTGTTCTCTGATCACTTGCATGCTGCTTGAAGAACATCCCTTAGTATTTTCAGTTTGAATCTGTTATTAATGGATCTTACTCATCTTTGGTTATCTGAAAGTGTTTTCATTTGATCATTTCTAAGGGATAAGTGATGAATTCTAGGTTTGTGATTTTTTTTTTTTTTTTTTGCCACTTGAAAGATGTCATTCTGTTGTTTGAGGCTTCCATTATTCTTGCAATGTTAAAAAATTACTGAAAGTTAGATTATTGTTTAAATATAAGATGTCTTTTTATGCTACTGCTTTCAAGATTTGGGTGTGTTTTGCTTGTTTAGTAGAAAAAAAAAAAAAAAAGACTTGATTTTCAGCAGTTTTACTGTTGTCCCTAAATATGTCTTTCCTGTTTAGAGTTTATAGTACTTCTAACAATTTTTTTTTTTTTTGGTCTTTTTTTGTTTTTATCGGTACCAGGGATCGAACTCATGACTGCCTGCTTGCAAGGCAGGTGCTTACGCCACTGAGCTAAACCCCCAGCCCCAAGTTTATAGTACTTCTTGAAAATTTCTTTTCCTTTTTTTTTTTTCTCCTGTGAAACCTCCAGTATTATGTTAGGCTTTTATCCCATGTCCCCTCTTTTATGTCTGGCACACAGCTTCCTGTATGTTCTATCAGTCTGATCTTTCAGTTCATTGCTTATCTCTTTAGCTATGTTTGCTATGTTGTTAAAATGTCATTGAGTTCCTATTTTTGGTTATTTTATCTTTTTAACTACCAGATTTCTATTTGGTTCAGTTTCAAAGTATAGTTCTTTGATGAAATTGTCTACCTTGCATTTATGCATTTATTTTACTGCATAAATTCTTATTTTTCTGGAATTTATGTCTGATGATGCTCTAATGACATCAGTCTGTTTTAATTACTCATTATTTCTTTATTTTAAATCACATCTTCCTTTCTTGTGTATTGTTATTTTTTATTGAAAGTCAGGCGTATCTGCCCATTTTCTGTTACTATAGTAAAGTACCTGAAGCTGGATACTTATTAGCTCACAGTTTTGGAAGCTGAAAGTCTGAGGTTGGGTAGTCCCTCGGTTCAGCCTCTGGTGAGGGTCCCTTAGGCTGCATCACAGCATGGCAGATAGCATCATGGTAGGAGCATGTACAAGAGAGAGAGCAGTCACGTAGGAAGACAGGAAGTGAGAGGGATTCAGAGGCCAGGCTTGCCTGTCTGTAACAGCTTGCTCTTGTGAGAACTAACTTCCTCTGAGATCAGCATTAATCTCTCCCAAGGTCAATGCCCCCATGCCATAATTATCTTGTACTAGGCCCCTGTCTCTTAAAGGTTTCATCACTTCAACACTGCTACACTAAGGATTAAACCACCAACATGTGAGAAAAGACCACATCTAGACCATAGCATCAGATGCCGTGTAAAAGATTGTTGAATGGCTGTGGTATGTGACTTTGGTTCTTTAAGACATTCTCTCTGATTGCTTCTTTCACCAGAGCTAGGTTGGGACTTTGTGTGCGCTGGTCCCCAAGCGGCGTGCACCAGCCCCTGTCAAAGTCCACTTAATGCCACTTCTTTTCCCCTGATCTAATACTGAATATCCTGCAAAAGTCAACCCCAGTTTTTTTTTTTTAAAGAAAACATAGATGTATTTTCCTTCATCCAATATTGTTTATTTGCTATCTTCCCACCATAGATAACATTTTCAAACCTTCTATAATAGTTCCTCATCTTCTACAGGAACTCCAAACTTATTTGTCATTTATTTCCCAGATCATATGGCTTCATGGCCAAGTTCTAAACTGACTTGGAAAGTGCACGTGTATACTCACACAGCCGTAACCACAAAACACAGTGACTGTGTGTGTGTCCCACCAATTTGCCCTAAGGGTGAATTTTTTAAAAATTAAGGTAATTAAAGGATCTAGATAAATATTCTCCTTTTCAAAAGAGGATTTATCTTCACTTCTGATGGATATCAAAGGGCACTGGCAATCCTAAGTCACTTTTATTTAATCAAAGGCAGAAATGAGGTGACTTAAATCTGGACCTTATTCCGTGTGGGGACTAGATTATTTCTTATGCACCTTTATTCTGAAATATTAGCCCTTTGAAGTCTTAGTCTGAAGCCTGGGTATTTACCAGACTCTCTTTCCTTGACGAGCCCTAAACTCCAGTCTTCATTGTGTTGGCTCCTAGAATTTGTTAGCAGCTCTGCTCAGTTTCTCAGCCTCTTGATTGCCTCTTTCAGTAATGGCACTGACTTGTAGGGAAAGGGCAACCCAGTGATGAGCTCACCTGTGCTTCCTTTTTGCACCCCGCCCCCATCTCATGGCCAGCCTGTTGGCTCGTTGCTACCTTTAGGAATGTGTTTTTTTACATTGAGTTCAGATTTTCTACTTCTCAGGTGAAGAGTTGGACTGCATGTCCCGCCTGTATAATAGGAAGAGGGATCCATATTGGGAGAGAATTAATCCACAGTGGTCTCCTCTGGGATTTTGTTCTGTGCTTGAGAAACGTTTGTGGTAGAGGCTGGCAGCTGGGCAGTTTTTCCTGAGAGTGGCAGGAAGGAATCTGAGCAACTCTACAGGTAGGCCGTGTCATTTCATACATGAGGAAATAGGTCCAGAAAAGGATAGAGGTTCTATGGGCCTGTTTTTTTTTTTTTTTAAGTTACTGTAGCTAAGTAATGGAGGCAGACTAACATATGTAGAAAAAAGGTTTGTTTTGGCTCATGGTTCTGTAGGTACAAGGCCCAGGCAGCTTATCAGGTGGTAGCCTTCTTGCTGATAGAGTCCCAAGGTGATGGAGAGCATTGTAGGGTGACAGGGATCACACGTGATGTCTACATATCTGATCCCTGTCCCTCTTACAAAGCCACCAGGAACCAGTACTAGGGTGCTGCACTCTGATGTCCTTATGTAAACCTAATCACTTTCCAGAGAGGCTGTGCTTCTCACATCGTACTGATGAAGTTTCTATTCTTTACTGTCATTAACATGTCCTTGGGGATTAAACTCCTGCACGAGTCTGTGTTGGTGTAAATCACATTCAGACCTTCCCTTTGGTGGGTGAGTAGCTCAGTGGCTTAGCATGTATGAGGCCCTGGGCTAATCCTCAGCGCTGAAAACAAAAGCAACACCCCTTGCAAGCCTGAGTGTGGACCTAATGTCCTGTAATGCAGTAATGGAGGGGCCAGAGATACAGCTCAGCAGCATAAGCACCTGCCTGGCAAGCATAAGGTCCTGAGTTCAATTCCTGGTACCAAGAAAAAAGAAAAAAAAAAAAAAAAAAAAAAGGTAATGGATGAGCTAGCTCTGGAATTTGCATCTCTTTTGTCCCTGTCTGTGAGGGATTTTACTACACTAGCTTCTGGGGGATGTTTAGTTGTTGTTATTTAGTTAGTTATTTTTCTTTGTATCGTAGCCATTTTCAATCACTTATAAAAGTAGAATGGCACAGCGAATGAATATTTCACTGTCACCCAACTGTCATGTCAAAATACATCCAATCTTGTTTCATCTGCACCTATTTTTTGGCTACTCCTGGATTATTTTGAGGCACAACCCAAACATTGTATCATTCCATTCATAAACATTTCAGTTTTAATCTGAATAAGATAAAAAACGTACATATGGTCTCTTTGTTTCTCTTTTTAACATAATCTCATTACCATTATCACACTCAAAAATTGTCAGATACTCAGAATAATTTAAATCCCTTGTTATAAAACTATAACCAGTTACAGCTGGCTCAGTTTTTGTTGAGTTTCCTGTCTAGCAAGCTGGGAGGCTGCGTTAGCACTACTGTCTTTTTCTTTCTTGTGTAATTATTGTTCTTCTGTAGGCAGAAGAATGAATATTCTCATTTGATCCTGATCTGTAGAAGAGGGCGCATGGGGTAAAGGTCCCGGCTAGGGCCTTCTAGAGGAGGTGTTTTGGGGGCCGGAGTCTTAGAGGTGCCTGGTGATGCTCCCAGGCCCACCCAGGCACTGTGGCCAACCTTACTTGTCGTACTGTGTAGCCAGAGAGAGGACCTGGGTGCTGCTCACCTCTGCCCTTTTGAGATCTTAGAGATGGAGCAAGGAAAGGCCTGTATTACCTTACAACCACACTCTGTTCTGCATGGTGTACCTGAGACACACCATTCAGAAAGAAGTACGAGGCAAGAAGGCTGACTTTCAAGATCTCGCATGAGTGGGCTGGCCTTTCTCAGCAGATCTAGTGTTCCAAGAACAAAAGTTCTGTAGGCTCAGAGTTTCTCCTGTTCCATTTTGTGATCTCTTACCCAGCTTAGATCTTGGCACACAGTAGAGCCTTCCATCTGCTACAGAGCCTAGAGTTTAGGTAGTGATAACAGCAATATCTGTTGAGTAATTACTATGTGCCAGGTAATAGTCTCATTGATTTCTGTGTATTATTTCACTTAGTCTTTATAGGCCCTGCATTAGGTATTGTGCATACTATTCTCATGCTGAAAATGGGGATGCATGGACCTGGGCGAGGTGGCACATGCCTGTAATCCCAGTACTCTGAGCGCTGAGGTAGGAGGAATCATGAGTTTGAAGACAAACTAGGCAAGGAAAGGAAATTAAACAGGTTAGTGACATCCTGTCTCAAAATAAAAGAGAAGGCTAGGGATGTCGCTAAGTGTGAAGGCCTTGGGTTCAAGCCCTATTTCGTATTTTTTTTTAAAGATGCACACAGAAATTCTGGAATTTTAAGTGGCAAATAAAGGTGATAGATTTCAATCTGAACAATCCAGCACCACAACCTGGGCCCTTCTCTGGGTACTCCTGCCATTCTGCATTGTGCAGGGGTGAGGAACTATGGCTTACGGGCCAAACCCAGAGCTATGAATGGTTTCTACATTTTTATTTTATTTATTTATTTTTTAAGGTAAAGGGGAAAGAAGATACAACAGAGACCTCCTGCGAGGCACGAAGCCTACAATATTTACTCTCTGGCCCTCTTAGCAAAAGTTTGCTGAGCTCTGCCTGAGAGGAGACAGTGAAGGGCTTTTAGATCTGGTCTCCTTTCAGACTTGGCTCGGTGGGCACTGTGGGCAAGCAGTTCACAGGTGAGCCTGGCAGAATTCAGTCTTCCTGAGACACAGGGGCTGAGCCAGCTTTGATCTGTCTTCTGCAGGCTGAGGACCTGAATGTCAAGTTAGAAGGGGAGCCTTCCTTGCGGAAACCAAAGCAACGGCCCCGGCCCGAGCCCCTGATCATCCCCACTAAGGCGGGCACTTTCATCGCCCCTCCTGTGTACTCCAACATCACCCCCTACCAAAGCCACCTGCGCTCTCCTGTCCGCCTAGCTGACCACCCCTCTGAGCGCAGCTTTGAGCTGCCCCCCTACACACCACCCCCCATCCTTAGCCCTGTTCGGGAAGGCTCCGGTCTCTACTTCAATGCCATCATATCAACCAGCAGCATCCCAGCCCCTCCTCCCATCACGCCAAAGAGCGCTCATCGCACCCTGCTTCGATCAAGTGAGTGACTCCTCCCCCATTGGTGACCTTGGTGACCGGGAAGTGGGGATAAGGGCACTGGATAGGGTGCAGCTCGGCTTAGGGGGTTGCTGAGAATTGGGCTGGAGGCTGTGCTCTGGGAGAAGGGGCTACTGTCCCCTCTGAGAAGAGGAGGGTGTCCTGTCACAAGAACGGGTTGGGGTGGGTATGAGGGAGTCAGCCTTACTGCCTGTGTTCAGGTCCCTGTTCTGCCATTTACTGTAACATCCCCTAGTGCTGGTCATTTAAACTTCCTGGGCCTGTTTCTCTAGTGTGAAAAGGGGGATTAGTAATTCCTGGATGATGATGAAATTGCCAGTATGCAGCGATTTGGGGGCTGCACAGATGACTGCTTCCTGTGGTTCAGCTTCGTAGGGTTGTGGTGAGCCGACACAAGGAAGGCCCTTACCAGCTTGTTTATATGCTGTGTCTGGTCTCTTGCACCTGTTGAATAGTCAGTCATTCTGGAAAAAAGCATTTTAGGAAATGTTTGGCTGGTGTATTGTTGAAAAATGCTACCCATTTCACAAAAGGATCGTTTCCCCTGGGGATGGGGATGGCAAAGTCCTATCCCTTAGGGTGGTAGAAACCTAAAGTGGGAGGAGCACATGGCTGCCTTCTCCCAGTTCATATCGACCCAGACTCACCCGTGGTGCAGCTCGCTGGTGCCCCCTGCTGTCTGTAGATGGGAAAGGGCTTGCCCTGCGTGGACTACTGCTCCATTTATGGTCTCCCTGGGAAGCGTCTCTCCTGACTCAGTCTGTTCACCAGTACTTACCTAGTACTTGTGTGCATATCCTTGACCAGGTCCCTACTAATGTTTGGAGCACCATTCATTGGAACTGGGTGTCCACATGATCTGTTCTAGAGAAAGCACAGTGCAGGATCATTAGGGAGCTAACCCGAAAGCCGGAGAGAGAAAAGCAGAGATTGCTGGCAATACGGGACCAGCAGCCAGTTGAGTAAAGGTGATATTAAGCTCCAGGCCTGCAGAGGGCTGGCTCCGTGAGGACAGCATGAGGGAGGGGGTGGGGCTGGAGCTGAGTTTAACTGTGGAGAGGGAGAGGGAGGGGCAAGCAGGGCCCTCCAGGCAAAGCAAGGTGGGACTGTGCAAGGAGAGCGCTGGGCCACCAGGTAAGCAGTCTGCAAGGATCGAGGCCCACACAATGGCTGCTGGGCAGAAGAAATGGAGAGCGAGGGAGTTCCCGTGAGCAGGCTTTTGGGTATTTACCCCGTGTTGCAGGCAGCTGTTGGCAAAAGTAGATTTTTGGTGTTTTTTGCTTGGTTGCTTATTTGTTTCTTTGAAGCAAGGAAGCGGCTTGATCTTGTGGGGCCTATCAGTAGATTAGCTTGGAAGAGACTGAGGTAGAAAATCCAGAGCGGAAGTGAGAAGACAGATATAAAAACTTTTATTAGTGTGTCCAAAGTTGCAGCCTCTTTACCAGAAAAGCAGTTTTATGTTGACTTCAGTAGTTTGGGAGCTCCTGGGAGCAGGAAGTGAGCGCTGGAGTAGTGTTACTGGCGGCACTGGGAATACTAGCTGATGTTTACTGAGTGCCCAGCTCTGTGCTTTGTTTCATTTCACCTTCAAATTAAGGTGAAAGAAATAGTCCCTTTTGCAGATTTGAAAACTGAGGCACCCAGCTATTTAGTCAAAGGCCTGAGCAGTCATCAGAGCTAGCAGGTTGCAGAGCCAGGACTCAAGTGCCTGAGTGCTGAGTGATCTCAATGGATCGCAGCTGTGACTCTCTCCCTGCAGCACCCAGGGATGGGGTGCTTTGCTGAAAAGAGGAAGATGCCACTTAACAATCTGTTCTTTGTCCCATAGACAGTGCTGAAGTCACCCCGCCCATCCTGTCTGTGATGGGAGAGGGCACCCCTGTGAGCATCGAGCCGTAAGTGCAGCCTGAGCCAGGCCTACAGTGTGGGGGTGGCCAGGTGGGCCCGGGGCATGCAGGAGGGTGGGGGGAATGAAAGGAGGGTTTGGGGAACGAGAGGAGGGTCTTGTGAGGCCTCTGCACTTGTGCAGTCAGCCCTGGGCACTGCCGTCCTTATCCTGCTTCTGCATGAAAGTTGTAGGAAAAGCAAAGGGGCTGCTGTGCTTGAATTTGGCTCTCGGAGAGCTGGGTGGGTGTCTACCTCTATAAAACAGCTTCTTGCCTTGCCAAGCTTTGGGCCTTGCCTTTCTGGTTGTGCTAGGTGCCAGGCTTTTCTGTCTCCCAGATCCATTCCTTCCCTGCACCCAGCTTCTGCCAGTTGCCCCTCCAGTCCCATCCCCTGGGTAGAAAATCAGGATAACTGTCCCTTTGAAGTGAGGCCTCACTCCCTAACCTTCCCGCTGCTACAGACGCATCAATGTGGGCACCCAGTTCCAAGCGGAAATCCCCTTGATAAGGGACCGTGCCCTGGCGGCTGCAGATCCTCACAAGGCTGACCTGGTGTGGCAGCCCTGGGAGAACCTAGAGAGCACCCGGGAGAAGCAGAGGCAAGGTGAGTGGGGACCTGGGAGTGATTAGGCCAGGTGGGCCGGTAGGGACATGGGGAGAACAGGCCCGGCCACGCAGTCCCTGAGTGCAATTTCTTCTGCTCCCTGCGCTGCTGTGAATCCAGTGGAAGACCTGCTGACAGCTGCCTGCTCCAGCATCCTCCCTGGCGCCGGCACTAACCAAGAGCTGGCCCTACACTATCTGCACGAGTCTGGGGGAGACATCCTGGTAAGAGTCTTGCTGGCTTAGGGAAGGTCCCATGGGAAGTATCTGAGGTGGGTGGGAGGGTCTGACCAAGATGGGGATCGTCGCACCTTGGCCCAGGGGAATTCTAGTTCTAAACACTACCTTTTGGTATACAGGGTCCTCCTGTCTATCCCAGTCCCTGACTAGGGCAGTGGGGTCTCCTCTGCATGACAGGAGTGTTCATGCAACCTGCCTTGGGGGCTACATTTTCCTTAAAAGCCCCTGTTTCCTGAGCTGTCCCATCTGCCATGCCTCTACCATCCTCCCAGACCTCTGATCCCTCAACATTTAAGGGCCCAAGAGGAAGTACCTAGCCTACTCTGAGACTTAAGGTACTGTGCCTGGGCCTCGGATTCTCAGTTCGCCCTGTCTTCTCTTGCCCAGGAAACTCTGAATAAGCTGCTACTGAAGAAGCCCTTGCGGCCCCTCAACCATCCACTGGCAACTTATCACTACACAGGTGGGCCTGGCTGTGGGATGGGCATGTGCCCCGAGTCTTCTAGGGTCTCCAGCATCAGGACCTGGTACCACAGCCAGGGTGGCTCTTGAAGGGACTTCTCATTCCCTAGAGGGAAAGTGGGCGGGTGGGAACCTAGCTAGGGAAGAAAGCCTAGGTCACAGGTACAAGACAGGAACCCAATTGGATACCATCCAAATTGGCCTCAGGTATCTGGCATTTAGTTGGCCCTTGGGGCACGCGTCTCATTGTGGTTATTATTCTTTAAGAGGGACTTTGGCCAAATCATGTAACCCTAGAAGCCACTGTTACTGATACCTGTAATTGCCACATTTCATCTGTACCAGAGAGTTCCAAGGGCTTCACTACACTGTCATTTGGTCCTCTTTACACCTGGTGAGGTGGATCTAGATGCAACTTCCCGTTTCACAAGCAAGGAGTGGGAGGCCCCAAGGGACAGGATGTGGCATCAGCTCCAAATGCTGCAGAGGCCTCGTGGGGATGGCCTCACACTTGCAGCTGGTCAGAATAGCCCCCAGTGTTTACGGGTCTCAGACCTTGGCTCCCTCTTTGCCCCTCAGGCTCTGACCAGTGGAAGATGGCTGAAAGGAAGCTGTTCAACAAAGGCATTGCCATCTACAAGAAAGATTTCTTCCTGGTGCAGAAGCTGGTAAGTTGGGTCTATTTCTAGGCAGGTGAGGGCCAGGAGCTACACACATGACTTTGGGACTCCTGCCTGTGGGCCACCTGTTGTTGCTGACCACGCACTCCTAAAAAGTAGTCAGAGCCCTATCCTCAAGTAGCCTTGGAGAGTTTTTTAAACATTACAAGAGGAGGGAAAGATCTGGCCTTTTTCCCTTACTGGTTCTGAGCCCCCTTCTAACCTTTGGGTGTTGTGACCAGGCTCTGGGCTCTCAGTCCGCACAGGAGTCTGATATCACTCTTAAAGATAGGTGGGAAGATAAGGTGGGAATAAGGGCCTTGAGAAGCAGAGAGCCATTCCCCTACAGGATACAGGAAAGGGGCTCACTCCAGGGTGAGGGGAACTGGCAGCCAGCAAGAGCCTGTGTTGCTGACCTGGGTGACCTCTGCCTGCTCCCTTCTGAGCCAGGGCTTCCTTCTGGTCACTAGCTGATGAGCCTAGGTTCCCAAGATGATCTGGTCATCTCCTGTACTCTCCTGGAAGAGTACAGTGCTTTGTGTCTTTTCCAGCTCCATCTCACAAAGTCTAGGCTGTGGAAGAGCATGTTGCATGGCTCCCAAAGGGAAAAGAGCTTCCCAGTTTCTTGCTGGGTGGTGGATTGTGGCCCTGGGGACTGGGTAGAGTACTGATAAATTCTCATAGGAGAGAATTTGATGAAGAGGACAATCGTTTGTTGTATTTTAGTAACACTGTCTCCAGATCAATGATCTCACTAAGAAGTACATGCCCGTGAAATTCACTGAGGTGCCTCCAATGCCTGATGTAAGGAGCAGATCAGTAGTCAAATGAATAATCCAAGAGAATTGTCAGGAAAAGTGTAGTGCCTTGGCCATTCCCATGAGATGAAGCATGCCTGTCTGCTTCTTGCACAGAGGATCTCAGTGCCCTTGGGTTCCTGGACAGGAGCTCCCTGCCCAGAAGGGGCAGAGCAGTTTGGGAGCCAGGGGAAAGCAAGGAATATAAGAGGACCCTTGGATAGAAAGTAGTCCAGAGACAAAACCCAGTGGCCAGATAGATTTATGAAATGGGACGGCTTAAAATTTCAGGCTGCCTTGTCCTTGGAGCTGCCACAACCTGTTAAATTTAGACAAGCAAAACTGAAATTGGAAGGGTGGGTGACTTGTACAGGGCCACACAATCATTTGTGGCAGGGTTGGGAACAAGACTTGGGTCTTCGGCTTCCTTTTCAGGTTGTCCTGAGATAGGACAGTGCCACATTCCTTTACCTCACTTGTCAGTCCCTGTTCCCTGGAGAGGAATGGATCTGCAGCCAGGTGGCTGACGTGCATCTGTGCTGCCAGCTTGGGGCTGGTTTGGGATGTGGTTGAGGCCCAGACTTTATTCCCTTTAATGTTTTTTTTTTAAACTGGAAAAGTTTCAAACTGTTGAATAAATGCCCGTTGACCTTCCACTTAGATTTATTAATTGTTAGCGTTAGCCCCCTTTGCTTTTTCTCTGTCCACATCTAAACATACTCACGCAAACACATGACTGTTTTCCTTTCTCCGTTTTTAGCTAATCATGAAAAGTTACAGTCTTATCATGTGACTCAATGGATTTCAGTGTATACTTCCTAAAAACAAAAGTTATTCTTCAGTAAAACCACAGTATCGTAAACAAGTTCCAAAAGACTTAAACAGACACAGTGATACTCCCGAGTATGCAGTGCGTAGTCCGTCTCCTCTCCCCAGGGTCCACTGTTGCCCCTTGTGTTTTTTTCTTTCTTGACAGTAGTGCCGAAGCATTAGTTGTTTGCATTGGTCAGGGGTTTGTGGCAGATCAGACACTGGAGAGATAGGCTGGCTTCTTTCCAGGCAGGCGAGCCAAACCATCAGACTCTAACTTCAGTTTTGGCTTCAAACCAGATCCAGACCAAGACGGTGGCCCAGTGTGTGGAATTCTACTACACCTACAAGAAACAAGTGAAAATTGGTCGCAATGGGACTCTTACCTTTGGAAACGTGGATATAAGTGATGAGAAATCAGCCCAAGAAGAGGTTGAAGTGGATATTAAGGTGATTCCTTTGGCGGCAGCAGCTGCCTAGAGCCTGTTAGGGTCTGGGGCAGGGCCAAGCTCTCCAGGACTCTGTAGAGGGCAGGCAGAAGAAAGTACGATCCCTAGAGCCTGCAAGAGCTGATGTCCCCCTGTTCTTTTCCGATGGTGGAGAGCTGGGATCACGGTACTTAAGCATGAGATGGGTGCAGATCCTGGAGAATTGTGTTTGTATCACCGTCTATTTCTGTCTCCTCACAGCAGACCTCTAGCACTGTTTCCCAAACTTCAGTCATTCTTGCATCACCTTTGTGATTTCTGCTTTGTCCACACCCTACCATGTGTCACCATTACTATTTTTGTTATGTCCACATACCATTTGTGCTATTACTTAATATTTCTTTTATGTTGATCCATTTATACTCAAAGGAGAGCTCTATATCACAATCATGAATAGGAAACCAGGATTGTTTCCCATACATACAAGGAACTGATAAAAATAAGTATTTATATGAAAACCAATCACTGCTACCAAATTCTAATTAGATGTTGGATTATCTGCCAGGGTTCTGAGACTGAAGGCCTGATCTCTCTTCATTAAAGAAATGATCAGGTCTATAGAAGCAAAAAGGGAATGCTAACACCAACCTGAGACTTTTGTACTTGACCTAACAAGATTGAAGGAGAATTGGAAGGGGAATGTTGCTTAATCCTACATCCATGAATAAGTCTGAGATACCATCTCCGGGTTACAAGACCACGCTTTGTAACATGCTGCTCTCAGATACTAGTTTGCTCCCCATTTTGTAGATGGAAAGAGAGAGGAGATACAGGTAGTATTACAGAGGTGGTTTGGAATTGGAGCTCAAGGCTCCTGCCTGGCTCACCAGACACTCTGCCTGAAGATGTGTCCTCCAGGTCCAGGAGTCAGGTGGCTTGTGGGTACTTTTGGGCATGTTCCCTTACTGCCTTCATCCTGAGAGCTCCCAGGGCTCAAGACTACCTTTTGTCCCCCAGGGAGACTAGCCACGGGAAGGCTGCAACCTAAACCAGGCCAGCGGGGCAAGGAGGGCCTCATGAGCCCTGGCTGGGTCAGAGTCCTGCACTATTGCAGTGTGACTGAACTTGTTCTTATCCCCCATAGACTTCCCAGAAGTTCCCAAGGGTGTCTCTTCCCAGAAGAGAGTCCCCAGGTGAAGAGAGACTGGAGCCCAAGAGTGAGGAGAAGGAGCCCAGGAAAGAGGGGGAGGAAGAGGTCCCCGAAACCCAGGAGAAGGGGGAGCAGGAGGAGGGGCGAGAGCGCAGCCGGCGGGCAGCTGCTGTCAAGGCCACGCAGACACTCCAGGCCAATGAGGTGGTAAGTGAGAGTGAGCCCAGGGAGGGAGGGCAGACAGGAACGTGGTGGCAGTCCTCATCATCACAAGTACTTCGTGCAGTTAACTTGTTTCATCCCCATGATGCTATGTGGTAGCGACTATTATTAATCACATTTTACAGATGAGGAAATTGAGGCTCAAGATAACACAGCTAATGGACAGCTTGATGCCAGTCTGCTATTTAGTTTTGTACTGTGCAACTTCTGGTTTTGAGATTTGAAGGAAAAGGGCTTTGTGAAAACCCAGTGGATATGTGGGAGACAGGAGAAGCTTTCATAAGCTATAGTTCATGCCTCTCCTGCCTGACATAATCCGTAATGGAGCTGAGACTATGGTGGTAAAATACCCCCCGACCCCCATATCCTCTGCAGAGTGCTTTCCATTTTCTGTTTCTCGTGTTCACCCAATACTATGCTGAACCCCTACTCTGTAGAAGTACCTCGCGTTAACCGATTGCACCACTGGAGCATTTTGACCCCCTACTCTGAAGATGGGACAGTTGGGTTTAGAGATGCCAAGTGAATGCCTGCGGTCACACCCCAGGTCCTTGGACTCCTAGTGCAATGCTCTGTCTACTGCGTAACAAGACAAGAAGGAAAACCTTTGGCAAAGGTGTCCTTGGCCTGGAGAGCTCTCCCAAGAAGGGGAAGGGTGGGAATTTGGACACTTACAACACTTACAGGAAGTTATAAGCTGAACACAGCTGTTTGCTCCCTTCTGAGCGTGGCAGTCTGCACGCTCTGTGCTCTGTGTTCTGTGCTCCGTATCTATACTCTGTTGAGTTCTGCAGGCTTTGTGAACACTTTGCTATGAAGGTCAACCAAGGACATATTGTGGTAACCATCTGGGACCCCAATGGAGGCTCAGAGCAGCACGTCCTTCAGGGCTGTATCACCTGTCCACTGCTCTGACACCTGCTCTTTCTCCCTGTTCTTCCCCTCTGTCCAGTGTTTGCCATGCTCTGTGTCCTCGGCAAGTGTTACCTGCATGTCTGCACCTGTCCCTTCCACTAGACTCAGAGTTCTCAGAGGGCAGCGATCTTATTTGTTAACTTTTATGTCCCCAGCACCTGTCATGTCCTAAGGACCTGATTTTTTTTTTTTAATAGCTTAAAGGCCAGCAACTTTGTAAACAATAGAGCTAGAGGGCTGGGGAATATAGCTCAGTGGCACAGCTCTTGCCTGGCAAGTGTGAGGTCCTGAGTTTGATTCCTGGTACCAAAAAAAAACCCGAAAAAAACCCCAAAAATCCCAAACAAAAGACTCCTAAAAAACAATAGAGCTAGAGTGGACCCAAGATTAACTGGGCATCTGATGAGGCACTGAGGGCCATGTTACTGGAGGGACTTAAGTGAATGCTAAGGGGATTATGTGGCAGGAGTGTGGAGTGTGTTGCCTTTAAGGGCCCTGTATTCCCCTTTATTACAGAATTCTGGATCTCTGCTTCCCTAAAGCACTCAACTCTCTTGTTGATTTTCTCCAGGCCAATGACATCCTTATCCTGCGAAGCCATGAATCCAATGCCCCTGAGTCGGAGTCAGCAGGTGGCCAGGTCTCAGAGAAACCAAGGGAAGGGCCAGGGAAGTCACGAAGGGCACTGTCTTTCTCAGAGAAGAAGAAAAAAACAGAGGCATTTAATAAGACCCAGAACCAGGAGAACACTTTCCCTTGTAAAAAATGTGGCAGGTAAGATGACCAGCACTGTCTCTGCACTGAGGGGGTGCTATTGGGAACACTCAGCTTGTCTTCTGATTGGTTCAGTGAGTTGCCAGGGCAGTGACATCATCAGGGGTAGTTTTAGACTAGGTCATGCAGGCTTGAGGATAGGGTCGGGTGGGGAAGGAGTTGGGGTGGTTAGGGAAGCTGCAAATCTGGAAGACCAGGTGCACTCACACACCCAGGGCTGCCCCGGCTGGCAAGCCCCTTACCTGTGCCCCTCCTATCCTGCTGCAGGGTGTTCTACAAGGTGAAGAGCCGAAGTGCCCACATGAAGAGCCATGCAGAACAGGAGAAGAAGGCCGCAGCCCTGCGGCAGAAGGAAAAGGAGGCCAAAGAGGCTGCTGCTGCCACCCTGCGCCCTCAGGAAGAGAGTGCAGGCGAGAAGGGCTGAGTTCCACCTGGAACCTTGGGAGCAGAGTGAGCCCAGAGTGTCTTGTGGACATTGCTCAGCAGAACAATTCAGACAGTGAAATAAATGGCTTTTTTCTTTATAAAGGCCCCAGGAGCAGTGTTAAGGGCTGCAGGATCCAGTTCTCTTTGCCTTTGGTTTTTGGGAAGTCGTCCTCCTGCTTTCCTGGAGCTGTGAGCATGCTGGTCCACTCTGCCTGGGGGAGCTGCTGGGAGCAGTTCTGACCTGGCTGCCTTAGCGCAGAGCAGCCTCCTCCCTCCTCTCACTCCCCTCCCTGCTTTTCCAGGAAGCCTCCTTGGCCAGCCAAGCACAAGCTCAACCCACTGCAGCGTATTCCCATCCCCCAGAGGACCTGAAGGCTGCAGTAAGGCCTTGCCCCAAGCAAGAGACTTCCTTTGTGTGTGTGTGTGGGGGGGCGCGCATGGTGTCCAGACACCTGTGCTGTTCCTGCTGGCAATGTCCAGGCCTGAGCTGCTCGAGTGACCCTCTCTGCAGGCCACTGCCTCACTCCGTGGAGCGTGAAGCCCAGGAAGGTGCCGGTCTGCCAAGTTTTCTCTGGTGTTTGGAGAAGGGGCCACTGTTCCTGTCCTTGTTCTCAGCCTGCTCCAGGGAAGGAACTGTACTGAGGCTGCAAGCTGAAGCCAGAGCCACAGGGCTGGGTTGTCGGGAGCTTTTGACAAGTCTCTCCTGCTTTCCATCCACCATTTTGCCAAATACCTTTGGGCCCTGGAGGCTGCTAAGGGAGCTTAGCCTCAAGCAGGTCTTCAAGCTGGTGCCAGCTCCCTGCTTGCCTCTGTCCTGTCCTCAGTAGCAGCCACTTACACCCCCCCACCCCCACCCTTTTTGATCCCCAAAGCTCAGCACTCTGCACCACGCTGGAGATTTCTGGGTCCTTCCCTGGGAGAGGAGGTCTCCTGACGAAATGGGATGGAGCCTCCATTCTTTGACTCGTGTCATTTGGGAGCTATTTATTTATTCTTAATATTTAATTTTCAACATCCTCAGGGACCAGGGGCCTCCTGCTTTCCAGAGGCCCAAGTGCATTTATCCCAAGACAAGGCACCTTCTTGACACCCCCAATTCTCCAGGCTCTAGGGTCCCTCCTGTTGTTGGTGTGGAATATCTGACCACCAGTGAGAGTGACAGCACCACTGAAAAGAGGCTGGGAAGGTGGAGGGTGTTCCCAAAGCCACACAAAGACTAGCAGGAGTGAGGGGGATCAAAGGCAGTTTCCATTGCTCCCCTTTTGTACTTCAGATGGCCTGCGAGAGTTGGCAGGAGGCTGGAATTTTAGTTTTGTTTGCCAGGCCTGCATTCTAGCTTGAAGAAGCCATATTTGGCATGGGATTACTGGAGTGAAGCAGCCTGAAGTTGCTTAAGGCCCCTTCACTTGCCAGTCTCATGGGAACCTGAGTTGTTTTTCTGATGTTGTTACTCAACTTTAGTTGTACAAATGAAATTCTGAGTGAATGTGTATATGACAGGCCAGCGTGTTAGGAACCCGCGATTCATCTTGCTGCTACCTAGAGATGGCCGGAAGACATCGGGTCAGTAACTGGGAACGGAGAGGGAATTTTGTTTTTAAACTATGCACTATGAGATATTTTAAAATTAGTTTATGCATTAATAAGGGTTTTATATGATACCAATTATGAAGGTAACAAAACTCTCCACCCAGACTCGTAGACAACTACTTGGATTCCAGCTTCCCCGCTAGTTTCTTCATGGGCTTCTATATGCTCCAAGTCCCAAGACTGCAAAAATCTGGTGGGCCCTCTAGAGGGAGGGCAGCAAATTTCGGCTCTTTTCTAAATCACTTGTATACTATGAGTGCCTTCACAGCTTAGCCCCAAAGTGCTACTTATGCTTCCCAAGGATTTTTCTGTTCTGTTTTGGTTTCAGGCCCCTTTATGGACACGTGATAACAGGACCTTCTCAGTCACTTGAGACCTTTCTGTTCAGGGGTAACATTTAATACTTGGGTTTCTTTTTTCTTTTCTTTTTCTTTTTCTTTCTTTCTTTTTTTTTTTTTTTTTTTTGGTAAGAAAATGATTAGATTTTTCTAAGCTCACAAAGAATAGACCAGGCAAACGTAGCCAAGGAAGATGAAGGTGGTTCCTCCTGGTACCATTTCATCAGACCTGTTTTAGGAGAGCCTATGTTCCAGAATGCATTTGTATCTAGAAAGCATTGTGAAAAGTGAAATGTTTAGAGGACAGATGCAATTGTGGCAAGTGACCATTCAGTAAAGTAAGAGTAGCCATAGAAGCTAGCATAGGTATATCCTTAATGGTGCTTTCTCCCTATGAATATATAAGGCTTGTCTTTTGTTTTCCCCTCCTATTTAGAGCTCTTTGCTTTAACAGGTTAAACTACACACAGCTCCAGCTTTATAATGTCCTCCCCCTCACCATCTTACCATGTCAATCTCAGCCTCCCTTTGCATTCAGTTAAAAGGTAGTGCCTGCTGTCTGTACCATTCCTGAGGCCTCGTACCCACCTGAGGAGACAGTGCTGTCATTACTGTCCTCCATGCCTTTAGCAGCCCCCTTCCCGTCTGAGGTGCACGGCTGCCTGCCCCACTGACTCGCATCGCCCACCTTGGCACAGAGGTCTTGTGCTGCTATGTTTCCCTGTATTAACTGCCTCAGTGGCCTAAACTCTTTTCTTCTCACGTGCCCGAAGTTAAGATGGAGGAACACAACACATACCCAAGCCTCAGCTGTCTTCAGTGTTTTCACTGGGGTTTACTTTTCTGGGATGTTATTTATTATCAAAATGGCTAGCCCAACTCCTTAGGTTTACAGGAAGTATGCATATTTTTATAATGCAATTGTGTTTGCCCCACATTTGGCTGTGTTAACATTTGCCTCTGATTAACAATTTGTAGCTGTTTCACCTTTTCCTTACTCGTCTCAAAGCTGAAGGCCTTGTTGGAGGGGACAGAGCACAGAACAGCCTTGACAGACTGTAATTATTGTACAGATATTTTAATAGCATATAAATAAGTATATTCCTTTTATTTTGAAACAAAAATCAGACACTGCCTTTTGTGTGTTTGCTGCCTGTGGCACCCTTTTTTTAAAAAGACTGTTACATATTAAAATAGTGTACATATATAAATATATATATATAAATATTACCTCTTTCGCTGTACAGTTGTGATAGACCAGACGGAAGATTTTATTTTTTGTGTGCTTTTTATAAAAAATTAATACACTAAAGAATCTTGCTGAAGTGATTGTAATGTATCTATGTAACTTATTTACTTTTGAATGTTCTTCTGTATCTTTAAACCTTTTATTAAATAAGGTTTTAAAACCTCAGAGTTGAGTGCTGTGTCCTTTTAGGGGGATTTTCACCGTCAGGAAGTGACATAAGGAGGCCTTGTTTTGGAGGGACAGTATGTGACATTTTTGAGCTGTAACAGTTCTGTTGCATCCATTGTCATTAAGGCCAGAACAGGCAAAATATGTTTGCCTGGCTAGAAAGACGACTGAGCAGACACAGACCTTGTAATTTACCAGTGTAATTATTTAAATATGGGATGACCAAAAATTTCATTTTTATAGCAAGAAATTTTAAAAGGACCAATTATTTTTTGTGACACCTAAAGTCTCCTTACTTAGTTCAGGCTAGCCTTGAACTCACTATGTAGCCCACGTTGGTCTCACTTGTGATTCTCCTGCCTCAGTCTTTCGAGTGCTGAGATTACAGGCGTGTGCCACCATGCCCAGCTAAAAATGACAATTTTATCAATTTAATTAAATGTTAAAATTGGCAAGTTGAAATAACATCTACCCAAGTGATGCTAGAGACAGTACATAAACATACTGCGTCAGTGACATGCAGGGTAAACTGTTAAGAGCTTAAAACTTTAGGCAATTTACACCTAGATTACATACTCCTACGTTTCAATTTTATTGGGGTGAAATATATAGAGGGTGCAAAGCGTGGATAGGTGGTACAGGGGAGGACTAGGGTGCTGATGATTTCATATGCAGCACAGCCCGAAAACCTAAGTGAATGTGCAACCTGACAAATCCAAAATGATGTATGCGTCCTTGACAGTACCATTTTAAAATCCACCCCAGAATTATTTTTAAACTCGGCCCTTCCAGCCCCAAGACGCCTGCTGTGGCCTCCAGTCCGGGCTTCTACCCTCTGCGAGACAACGTGATGCCCAGGGTGAGGACCCTGAGACGGCGACTCTCAGGGGATTGAGTCCTTGAGCATCCTCACAGCCAGGCTGCGTGGACTGACTTCTGTTCTCCACTGTCGTGATCATTGTGATTGCGTGAAGCTTGCCACTCTCAGTAGTGCAAAGTTTTTGTTTATTGTAAGAAAGAAAAGTGGAAAATAAGAAATACGCTATTGGAGTTTGCAGCACCTGAGTCACTTTACAGGCACCATGGTAACCGGCCGACCCTCCCGCCGCCTGAGCGCGTGTCGCGCATCATCCGGGTCACGCATCATCCGGGTCACCGTTGCCATTGGCACGCAGGCGCAGGCCGAGGCGGGGACGCATGGCCGTGCGTGCGGGACGTCCGGTGAGCCGGCCCCGCCCTCCACTGCGGAGGTCAGGCCTCAGCAGGTTGCAGGAAAGAAGCGCCGGCGCCGAAGCGCCCCGGCCACCCGTACCCGCCCTCGGCACTGTCGTCTCTAGCTTCGCTTCTTGTCCTTTCCGCGCCTCCTCTGCTGCCTTCGTCAGCGGACCTGGCCCTCTAGAGGGGTCCTGTGGTCTGGGCGGAAACTGCTTGCAGGCTCACCCCGCTGCCGTGACCTCGGGACAGCCTCGCCCTCTCTCTGCCTGACAAACGCCGCCCGCCCCAAGGTCAGGCTCCGCTGTCCCTGCTGCCGGAGGCGCAGCCACGCCTCGCGGCCGGCCACACCCAGTTGTTTCCGCCCCGAGGCGCCTGCTGTGGCCTTCAGTCTGGGCTGCTGGCCTCTGCGTGACAACGCGATGCCCAGGCTGCGGACCCTGAGGTTGCGATGGGCACAGGATTGAGTCCTTGAGCATCCTCGGAGCCAGACTGCTTAGACTGGTATCGGGGGCAGGGACGCGGCGAGATCTTTCTCTGCTGTCTTGATAATTGTGATTGCGTGAAGCTTGCCACTCAGGCCTACTTGGAAGGTTGTTGTCTTGTGCTTGAGCACCGTGAGACATTGGCGCCGTCGACAGTCAGAGGAAATGGCTGTGACTCTGTTGGAAGACTGGTGCCGGGGGATGGATGTGAACTCCCAGAGAGCTCTATTAGTTTGGGGGATCCCAGTGAACTGTGATGAGGCTGAAATTGAAGAGACCCTCCAGGCTGGGATGCCGCAGGTGGCTTATCGGGTTCTTGGAAGAATGTTCTGGAGGGAAGAAAATGCAAAAGCAGCCCTGTTAGAGCTCACAGGCGCTGTCGATTATGCTGTGATCCCCAGGGAGATGCCAGGCAAAGGAGGGGTGTGGAAGGTGGTCTTTAAGCCCCCCACTTCCGATACTGAGTTTTTAGAAAGGTTGCACCTCTTCCTTGCTAGAGAAGGGTGGACTGTGCAAGATGTTGCCCGTGTTCTTGGGTTTCAAAACCCTGCTCCTGCCCGAGGCCCAGAGATGTCAGCAGAGATGCTCAACTATATTTTGGATAATGTTATTCAGCCTCTTGTTGAGTCTATTTGGTACAAGAAGCTGACGCTGTTCTCCGGGAGGGACATCCTGGGGCCTGGGGAGGAAACCTTTGAGCCTTGGATGGAGCACACTAACGAGGTCATGCAGGAGTGGCAGGTGTCTGATGCGGAAAAAAGACGCCGGTTGATGGAGAGTCTGAGAGGCCCAGCCTTGGATGTCATTCGCATCCTGAAAACCAGCAACCCAGCCATAACCTCTGGCGAATGCCTGAAGGCTCTTGAACAGGTGTTTGGGAGTATTGAGAGCTCCAGGGACGCGCAGGTCAGATTTCTAAACACTTACCAGAGTCCAGGAGAAAAGTTATCAGCTTACGTGATTCGTCTGGAGCCTCTGCTGCAGAGAGTGGTGGAGAAGGGAGCCATCGATAAAGATAACATAAACCAGGCCCGCCTGGAGCAGGTCATTGCAGGGGCCACCCACAGTGGGGCCATACGGAGGCAGCTGTGGCTGACAGGGGCTGCAGAAGGGCCAGCCCCTAACCTCTTTCAGTTGTTGGTGCAAATCCGAGAGGAGGAGGCCAAAGAGGAGGAGGAAGAGGCTGAGGCTGCTCTCTTACAGTTAGGCCTTGAGGGGCACTTCTGAGACCCAGGAGAAGGGACTTCAGTGCAGACTTAGCTCACAGCTGCTTTTGTTGTCCCTGTGTGGTCTTGAAGGAGTGCCTCTGAGTAGTAAAGACATCCTTGCTCTGCTTTTTTGTTAGGTTTGCGGGCAGGGTGACTGGGGAAGCACATATTTACTTGGAAAGTTGTGCACGCAAGCCCTAGGAGCTCCTGCAGTACAAATGGAACAGGAAGGCAGAAATACCGGGAAAAGGCTTGGACACGATGTTGGGTGCAAGCTGTTTCGTCATCGTCAGTGGGGAAAATGTGAATCTGACAAGTCCCATCATGATGATTCAGTGTGAAATTGCATGTCACATGTTTAGTGCAGGGCCTTCCGCACAGGAAATGTTCAATAAAAATGTGAATTGTTTATATTTGTTATTAATGATGTGAATAGTTTGTTACTGTAAATTGCCCTGATTTATATTACTGCGAAGAAATACGAAGTTATTAAATTACCTTTAGAATGTAAATTTCTTATTTCTCATCTTTAGCATCTGGGTCAGTTTAATTGGAAAGTATTCTGAGACTTCAAAATAAGGTATATAAAAATATTGCAAGTATAGGGGTGTGTAAATCAGTTTTCCACTGTGTAAGATACAAATATCAGTCAAATGGAGAGGTTCATATGAACTAGTTCCCCCACTTCAAATCTTAATAATTGTTCATGCTGATCTGTGTTCTGAATTCAAAGTTACTAAGTAGATGTATACAAATAAAAATAAATTTAAAATTAAGTCTTGTTTTTCTGCATGTGTAAAAAATTTTAGTGTAATTAAGCTCTGTCTTTTTTCTTATGAAAACTCCCCCCATATCTATAAAGAAGAAAAAACTAACCTTGTTTATTGTTCAATTTGCAATAGCTTTTAATGTATAACTTTCACATGTTTTCTTTAAGGCTGATGTTAGAAGGTTAAATAACCAGATATTAGTAATACACAAAAATTTTTAAAAATTCTGAAATGAGATTTTTAAGTTTGGGACTTTTTGTATGTGCGTGTGGTACTTGGGATCAAACCTAAGGACCTTGTACCACTGAGCTATATCCCAAGCCCCTCTCCCCTTAAATTCTGATTTAGGTTCTTGCTTAGTTGCCCAGGCTGGACTTGAACTTGTGATCTTCTTGCCTCAGTCTTCCAAGTGTGGGATTACAGGTATGTACCACTACAACCAGCTGTTTTCCCTTGTTAATCACTGCGTCTGACAACTTGTTTCACTGAAGAAGTAATTCATCACAACTGTGTTAAATGAGTATTTGTTTTGCAGACACCATTTATTTTATACCAAGAAAATACCAAAAGAGAAAAACTTTAAAAAAACACTTAGCTGTAGAGATTCAGTGACTGCAGCTGTCCACCCTTGATAGCCTTAATAAATACAAATGTAATTGCATGAAAGTTGTTTTCTATGGGGTTTATCCTTACGGTTTTAAAATTATGGCTGCTTCATATGTCAGTAGTACAATACAAAAAATACAAAAGCTAATGGTATGTGTTGCCAGAGTTTCCAGTACCCTGATGTCTTCACTTCCCATGTCAGCTGTACCATTTTCATTTCTCCCCATACAAATGCATGTCACATTCTTGCCTCTCTCCTCCTCAGGAGACATGCGTATCTTTATTTCTCCCTCACACTTGCCCTACCCGGACCCCTACTCACCAGACTCCTAAGTCCTTGCTCCATTCCTATCGGTGTCAGGTACACACACCGTTTCCTCACTTCTGTCTTCATGCCTTTACTCAGTGCCCCCCATACGAGCATAGTCCTTCTATTATACAAGTGCTCTACATCAGCGTCCCTCCCCCACAATATGTACTCCATTTTTGCACATACAGGCCCTCTGTTATAGCATGCCAGTCAGCCACACTTACTGGAACAAATAGGGGTGTTTCCTTTTTTTGCCCAATATATTGTGCATCTGTGTACATAGGGATATATTAGTCCCCCCTCCCTCCACCCTGTGGTATGAGGATCAAACCCAGGGCCTCACACATGCTAGGCAAGTATTTTACTACTGAGCTACACTCCCAGTCCTAAACTTTGTATAGCTGCAGCATTGACTGTATCCTAGGAAGAACAGTCTTTTACTGCTTACTTACATATAATTGTGTCTATATATGCATGCATGTATTTAGCAAAATATATACATATGACATAAAAGTGTGTTAGGATCCTAGATGCTCATCCTTTGATCTAAGAAATAATGAACTAAAAATAACTCAGCTATTATGATCTGGAGTAGGGCTTTCCATTATAGGCTCAGAATTAAAGGTTGCTACTTTTTAAGGAAGGCTAGCAGCAAAGCAAGGTATCTTCATACATACTTGTGGGACTAGGAGTATAAACCGTATTGCAGGCTTATTCTGTGACCAACAGTACATTTTGGCTGGCAGCACACAGTATGATGTTACTGATACTGCAGTGTGGTTCCTGTTTCTCAAGGGCCTGTCAGCCAACATTTACTTAGTGTACTCTGAAAGTAAGCTGACTAGGAATGGTCAAATGTAGTAGTAATTTGTTGTCCCTAGGACACTATCCAGTCAACTAATTTGAAAGAGTAGAAAACTAATACATGTGGGAAAGGATGCTGTCACTGTAATAAACTACTGAAATGGTTTAGAGGATGATCCAAGTTGGAAAATCAGGAAATCCTGGCTCTGCTTATGTTGAAATTGCATCAGCTTGCTTCCACAAGCTGTCACGTGTGTGTACACTCTCACTCCCTCTCCTCCTTCCTCCCCCATTACCCTAAGGGTGAATTTCCTTGGAACTGAGTATCATTGGAAGTTCCCAAAGTTGCTCTCTATCAGCGAAAACTGATGATTATGTAACAAAAAAGACACAAATGTCCTTTTCTTATAAAATATCACCATTTATTACTATTTTAAAACAAGTCTCACAAAATAACATTCAACAACTCATTTCTAAATAATTTAACACAGTAACTTTAGTCATAAAGTCATGCTACAAAATTCCTGTGTATAAAAGATTATTACCAAAGTATTAATAGATGTTAAAATGCTCTTTGGAATGGAATTGGTTCTAAAAGCCAAAGATCCTGGAATGAAGCTCATGATCATAGCCAACAATCTTGGAGAAGCAGTTGGAGATACAAACATATTCTCTTCTGTGTCTAATTCACCAGTCTTGATAGGAGTGATCACTGTAGGCAATAGCACCTTGGAGGTAGGTACTTCCTACTGATCAAAGAAGCAAAGTGCTTCTAACCAATATAATTTAGCAACAACTTAATGCAGACAACATCTAAATTAGTTTTACAAATTTGGGTGTGGGGAAGATAATTCACAAAGTGTCTGAGTAGGAGAATTACTTGATACATCCTCCAGAGGGATGATCTGGGATACAGCAGATATAGAAGATGACTCAAATAGGGAATCAGGAAATCCTGATTCTGCTTATATCAACAGACAGCAATTGTTCACGCTGGCTTAGAATGACCAAGGGTGAGGTTTGATTCTCTAATGTCTATGTGTAAGCTAGGTATTTATCCATCTGCTTTTTGGAAGTACTTTCCATGAACATCCATTTAGAATTTTAAAGTGCAAATCTACTGAAAAATAGTTTATTCTCCCCCCCCCACCCCTGTTAAATTTGCTAGATTATAATTTGGTTGGCTGGTTCCCCTCTAACCTGCCTGCCCAATATGGGAAATAACCTAGAATCTGACTAGGACTTCTCTAAGTGTCAAGTATTAAACTTACTTTAGGTCAGAAGAAGATGAGACTTAGTCTAGTTTTCCTTTTAGTTTTCTCCTCTTGTAGTCAGTGATTAATAAAAAGTAGGTATATTGATACGGTATTTCTAAAAGCTCAGTGATTTTAAAATGTAACTCTTAGTTGGTTAAGTTTCATCTATTTTATAGTTTTACAAAAGGAAAACCGTATGACTTGCTAAAGTAAAAAGAACATAGTCACCAACTCTGCTACACTGAATCTTGTTTCATTATTTATAGACACATTAAAAGGCCCAAATAAAGAAAGTGTGCGCCAAAGGAATGAATTTCCATAAAGGATAACTTGCAGTTAACAGTTTTCTTCCTTTACCAATATTTATGATGTGTGAGGTCTTAGTGAACCAATGATCTGACTGCACTCCGAGAAACATTAACTACCTGTGATAGATGCTTTGATACTTCTTACAGCTTTCTAAAGTGAATGACTAAATTCGATTCTTCTGGGTTGGCCCTTAGCTTTTAGAAAAATCCAGGTAGAAGATTCAGACTCTACATCACCAACTCTGAGAATCAGTCAACAGTCATGATTCAGTTTCCATTCCTCCTCATTCTGCTTTCAACTCACTGGCAAAAAGTGTCAAAAGAAGCACCTATTCAAGTAGAAAACTCCAAACAGGAATCGTGCGTAAGTGCTGCATACTGTTTTCATACATGGAATGGATTCAGTAAGCATACAAGTTATTGACCAGTAATAATAAGCAGATCACATTCAAAATCAAGTCTACATCAGCTAACTTTTAAACAGGATACATTTTACACAGTATTTCTGTATTTAATGACTGTCACAGTCTGTAAAAGTTTGCATATTAGGTAAAGAATGAGGATGATCCATTTTCTGAAGTATCTTCAAACTATGAAATTTTAGAGACAAAGCAAAATCTACCATAATATTGAATTCTGTTGACAGTAACAAAAGAGGTAGGTTAATAAACACTGTCCTAAGATAAGCAAGGATGGTAAGAAATAAAATTTGAGGCCCCGCTAAAATAAACTGTATAAGTTTAACCTTCTAGCCCTGAGTTTCTAATACTATGAAAAACCTACAAAAATTAGTGTTACATAAAAAGGAACACCTCTGACCATTTCCTTCCGTCCTTCTTTCACATAACTCCACTGGCACATGGCTATGCAGCGAAAATAGATGGACACTGGACAAAAGGAACACGGAGGGAAAAAAGCACTGGTTTTTAACTAGGGGAGAATCTGTTCCCATCTTTCCTCCAGAGGTAAGATGGCAATGTCTGGAGAAACCTTTTGTTGTAATAACTGGGAGAAGGAGCTACTGGTATCCATTGGTGGAGGTTAGGGATGCTGCTAAATATCCCACACAGGACAGTCTCCCACAGCAAGGAATTAGCTAGCCCAGTACGTAGTGCCAATGTTGAGAACTTCTAGTTTAAGGGAACACAATCTTATAAACAGAACACAAAAACCTTTCAAGCCTGACTTAGTAATATGGTCATAGGCTTAGAATTACAGAAAATAGAAAAGCTGAATTCCTTGGTAGATGAAAATCAAGTTTACTGTGAAGAATTAAAATACTAGGCTGATGCCAGAGCTCTGCCATCATTTATAAGAAAAGAAGAAAGGTGTATATACCTGTAATCCCAGAACTCTGGGGCCTAAAAGAGGAGGATCACAAGTTCGAGCCCAGCCTGGGCAACTTACTGAGACCCTATCTCAAAATATAAAAAGGCTGGGGATGTAGCTCAGTGCAAAGACCCTGGGTTCAATCCCCAGTACTAGAAGAAAAAGAAGTTTAAATGATCCTCTAACACAGGACCATAGCATCATCCATATTAAGTAGGTCAAATATCTAATCTGAGACATCAAACAAAGGCAGCAAATACAAACTAAATGTGCAGCACTAAAGGATGATAAAAGAATGATTTGAGAGACTGTACTGAACTTCTTCATATATCCAATCCACCATTTTCTAATTGCACAGATTCTGGCTTTAATTCCAGGAACAGGGATCCATAGAAGCCATTCAAATATTTGTTGAATACAAGTGAATGTGAATTTTGTGTAAAATGGACACTGAAAAGCACCATTTTCTGAGAACCACCAGTGATTAAAAAACATTAAGAAAAAAAACTATGTTATAGAAATTCAGAAAAATCACTTAAACTGTAAACTACTTCATAAATAAATTCAATACAAAGTCATCCATTTTCTATAATATTCCCTTCCAGAGTAACTTTTAGAAAATATACCCATACGGAGCCCATACGGAGCAATATGGCTTCAAGCTTGCCTACTGGATGAAGTGCAAACTACCAGAAGATCGCCTTCCCTCTCAGCTTATGGGCCTTACATGTCACTGAGGAGCATGGTTCACAAAGAAATGCTGAAAGCTTTGCATTTAAAAGCCAGTCAGGGTAAAGGCTTCTTCCTATCAGACTGAAAGGAAGAGTAAAGGGGTTAGACCAAGTGTTCTTGTTTGGATTTAGAGTTGATTGTCAAAGCAGTGGTCCCTTTTGATAAGAATGACTCTTAGAGAAATCAAGTGATTCTCACGTGATAGTTGTAGATTTCTGAAACCTAGGACTACTTATGCAATCATTTTTAAAAAATGATTCTCCCCTCTTTCATTCGATGGGGAGATAAGAATCAGTAGTCTCTGGGGAGAGACTTTAGGCACAATTTGGCAGAAGACCCCTGACTTCTATTTTGTGGTCTATTAGTGCATCACTCATGACCTGCTATAGACTTCATCCGATTACTGATCTTGCATTTTCCAGAAAGAAAATTTTTCTTACATTATAAATTCTAATCTCTGCACCTGACTATTGCTTTCCAGTTCAGAAGTTAAATCATCTGAGTGCTTCACACAGGAGGCAGTTCTCCAACATACTGCTGTTCGTCTGGGATCTCACTGAAACATCTCTCCTCTCTTCCTTCCACAACCACTTACACGTTACACTTTCTGAGCTGCTCAACTTAGAACTTCTCAAAAAAAAAAAAATAAAGTTTGAAATATATGTGTATTATATATACTTGAAAATAACCTTCATTTATTGAGAAGTACCAGATTCAATCTTCAAGTCTGTACCCTTCTAACGATAATAGTGAGGATCAGGAGACTAAATTCTTGGGGCAAATTGTGATGCATATCAATGGTTGATGTTTAGTCGAGAGCTGCTGACTTTAAACTGTAAGGAATTATAAACCCAAAAAAAATGTGCTTTAGGCCAGGTCCACATGGATAACACGGCCACACTATTGGTCAAAGGAGGGCCATGATGGTCATTTTAACCACTGAACTGGGTCACAGAATAACTGATTATACATATACAGTGACTCAAGTGGCCATGATTGTAAACACAACTAAATTCCAGTTGACAATCTACACATTTTTGGAAAAACAAACAAATAAATACAGTGTGGGCTAGAAGGCCTCCAAGATGCTCATTCTTCCTTTTGATACCACAGCTTTTTCCAGCTGGAGTCTTGGTTCCAGGACTGCTGCTGTGTGTTCCTAAGAGGCGCTCTTTCCACTGCCACACTCCCTTCAAAACCAACGGCACGATACCTTTGCACTTCTGAGGCCTAGGGAGAGGGACCTTCTACAGATTCAAATGCCTGACCTAAAAAGTACTAAACAAACTGAATAAACAATATTTGTTCTTTCGCTATTTAAACCATTGATCTATACATTTCAATAGATGGGCTCACATGGTATATAACAGAGAATGAAGACAAAAAGTGGAAAAGTTAGTTTCCAAAAAGAGAACTAGACTACATAAAGTTGGTGTTAGTGGTTTTGGGGAGAAATACTGGGTAGCTTTAAAAAAAAAATTGGAAGTAAGATTTCTTTTAAGAACTTTCTGTTCCACACAGAATCTTTAAAATAGAGAATTATACAAAACTTATCTACTGTTCTCATGACAATTAAATAAGTTAACACAAAGAGGAAAATATGGTGTTAATTTTCTTCTTCCTCATCCTGTTTAATTACTGGAGTACCTAAAATGAAAAAGAAAATTATTTCTGTTTATTCTCAACAGGTTCTAAATGAAAGTATTTCCCTGTTAACCCGAGAAGCTCCAAGAGGCTGTGAAATGTGACATAATAGAATGGTTTCACAAAATAATCTCTTAAATTTCAAATTTAATAGAAAGGCCCTCAGGAGAATTTGCAAGTGATTTAAATACTTATAATTTTACAGCTCCCTAATTGTAGAGTTGTAAACAAACATGCCTACAAGAGCCTACAGAAAAATAACATGGATAGGGTGACACACACCTATAATTTCTCTCTCTCTTTTAGTTGGTACCAGGAATTGAACTCAGAATCTTGCACTTGCCAGGCAGGTGCTTAAACCACTGAGCTATATTCCTGGCCCCCTCTCTCTTTTTCTGTCTTTTCTTTTTGGTGCTGGGGATTGAGCCCAGGGCCTTGAGCATGCTAAGCTAAGCCAGTGGTATCCAGCGACATTGACACGAATCTCCATGGTAGGGAAATTAAAACTGAGGAGCGATGGGTACGAGACACAACACTCAGGTTTTCACCACTGTGAGAAAGCACCTACTCACCATTCACGTGTAACCGTTCCACAAAACACTTCTGTGACTTGAGAATAAGCCTAAATTTTTTCTAGGAGACCCTGATATAAGGATGATCTTGTATTAGCCCAAACATCTTAGGAATTTTTCATTGCATTCTGGCATACCTGGACCATTAAATTTCACATGGATAGAAATGGTCTTTAAGATTAGGGGCAATACATCACTTTCTTTAGTTTTACTCCTTGTCATGATCCCATGCCAAAAATTCCACTTTTATAACTAGCAAACATTCCTAAGCCAGCCCCCCAGGGTCACTCACCATCCAGCTTTTTTAGTTTGGGCACTCTTTTGGTTGCTTCCTCTATCCAGTTCCCTTCGGCAGAATGTTTCTCTTCCAGAGGATTGCCGACGAATACCAGGTCTTCCAGGCACGGCAGTTCTGACAGCTTCACAAATTCAGCTATAAGAACAAACGACACTTTACACATTACAATGGAAAGTTTTACTGTTATGATTTTAGAGACTGAATTCCAAATTGCTACCCTCGATTTGTGATTATTCAGGACAACTAGTTAAGATTTTGAAGAAGGTTATAGAAATTTTTCTATATGAAGTTACTGTCTGAGGACGTTATGAGGTGGGTGAGGGAAAAAAGACCTCTCTATTCTACCTGCTAAAGAGGGTCCAGGAAGAAAAGATAAGGGTCAGAATTGAAAATAACTAGTCGGGGCTGGGGATTTAGCTCAGCGGCATAAGTGCCTGCCTTACAAGCAGGCAGTTGTGAGTTCGATCCCTGGTACCAATAAAAATGAAAAAGACAAAAAAAAAAAGAAAAGAAAATAACTAGTCGATCTACAATAACAAATGTTCTTGCTGTGTTGCATCAGTATAGGTCGAGCTAAACTGCTTGTCTCTATTCCTTCATCCTCAAATTCTTGATTTCTTCTCTTTTTGAGACAGAGTCTCATTATGCAGTTCAGGCTGGCCTTGAACTACAGTGATCTTCCTGCCTCAGCCTCCCAAGTGCTGGGGTTACAGGTGTGCACTACCACGACTGGCCTTCAACCTCAAATTCTTAAAGCAACTCATTCAGCTCATTATTGCAGAACCTGTAATAAATGTTATAATTATTAGCTTTTAAGTAAAATTCCCCACTCAGCTGTGAGCTCCTTGAAGGCAGGGATATTTTCTATTCAATTATGTATATTGAGAGTCTAGCATCGATCATGCACATAACAGGGCTTTAGTACATGCTGAATTAGAAACATGCAATAAAAAGCAAAGCAATATAGATATCAAATAAGTCTTCCATTCAAGAATTATTAGATTTAAGCTAATTCCCTGAGCCTTTGATTAACAGGACAAGGACCTATCTAATTATATTTGCCCTAAGTACAAATTTAAATATAAATTTCATGCATTTAAAATTTAGGAATTTCTATACTGTTTCTATAAAAAATATAAGAAATTCTGTAGCTACTTCTTCTGTGCTTAGAAATAAATGTTTCCACTCTGCATCTTTTTCTCTATTGGGTATGTTCTGGAAACATGAGGTAGATAGATAGGAAAGAGTCATTCTCAGCTTACCCCACTCTTTCACCAGGTTATTAGACATGTAGAGAATCTTCAATTTTTTCATTACATGGATCCCTTTCAACTTTTCAATAAAATTGTAGGAGATCCACAGTTCTTCTAACGTGTCTCCTACAGCTTCCTGAAAAAGAAAGCATTGTAACTTACATGCTTATTTTTAGCCTTTCTTTTCTGTCCCTGCCTTATAAACATGGACAGTGACTTTCAAGGAAAACTAAGACATGCCTATCCACTTGAAGGAGAGCTAACTTTTGTGTGGACATTTTTTCCCATTTAGGGAACAAAATAGAACGTTCTCCTTCCCTCTGAACTCTTCCTATTCTGATTGTTTCACTGAGCAAAAATTCACAAAACATTCTTTGCTAAGAATAGCTATGTAATTACCAAGAAGAGAAATAATGGCATTGTAGTATCATTGTCATTGAATGTTAGAACTTCTAATTACTAGCCTATTGATTATATATTATTTGGTCTTATTTGCCCCCCTGCAATACTAGAGAATGAACCTAGGGCCTTTGCACCGTGTGCTACATTCTTCGGCCTTTTTAACAATTTTAAATTTTGAGACAAGGTCTCACTAAGTCACTAAAAGTGTCCAGGCCAGGCTTGAACTCAAAATTTTCCTGCTTCAGATTTCCAGACTGCTAAAATTACAGGAACATACCCAACTTATTATTTGGTCTTTACATTTTTTTTAATTTGGTTTTTATATTTAAAGTAGATAAGCTATTGGATTTTTATTATGAGACACTTTAAGGCTTATTTATTTATTTTGAGACAGGTTCTCGCTATGTAGCCCAGACTGGCCCTGACCCATGTAATTAATATCTCTATCTCTATGTAGCCCAGGCTGGCCTTGAACTCACTATGATCTTCCTGCCTCAGCCGCCTGAGTGTTGGAATTATAGGTGGGCACCACCACAGTTTAGGGCTTTTTAGAAAACAGCACATTAAGTAGTATAGTTAAGTCTAAAATTCAGGGTTTTCTCAAAATTGTTATAGGAAAGTTTAAACATAAAAAAGTTGAAAGAATTTTATTTTAAATGCTCACTATGGTCACCATACATTTTGCCATACTTGTCCTATCATACCTGCCCATCTATCCATCCTACCATCCAGCAGTTCATCTTATCATATACATACATATATATATATATATATATATATATATATATATATAAAATGCAGTTTTAACCTTAACTATTAAATATTAGTAAAGACTTTCTATTATAGTATAAAGGTTATATCATACTGCCTCTTAAATTTTAGATATAATCAATAATTGCAAAAAGATTTTCATAGACATTAGACAAATTCAGTGATTTTTTTTCTAGACAAAATTTTAAAAGTTCTGGGCAGGATCAGCTGGATGTTCAATCACCTCTTCCCTATTCCTCCTAATTCATGAACATGCACAAGGTTATGTCTAGAAGGTGGCCCCAGGTCTATATCCTCACAATTGCACTTTCAATGACAATGGAGAGAATAAATGTCCCAGGATTAAGATCCTGAATGTGTTTTCCATAATTCCATAATTGTAGAACAAAGGGGAAAGGTTGAGAATGGGTGGTCTGAATTAGCTCTGTGTGTCATCCCAGGTTCAACATTTCATTTTAGTTCAACTTTCCAAATAGAAGACACAAGCTTTCAAAATTCTGGCATTCTTCTAACAGACATTTGTAATTTAACCAAGTCCTCTTGAGTAATATTGTGACACCTCCCTGGGCATGTAATTAATATCTCTATCTCTATTGCTATCTTTAGTCCTATATCATCAATACTATATCTCTATCTATCTATCTATCTATCTATCTATCTATCTATCTATGTTTCAAAAGAGGAGAATCATTCTTTAGCAATTTAAATTTTATTAATATATTTTCTCTGATCTAGATCCTCTTCTTTCACATGTCTCTAATTTATACTGCATGAGGTAGCAGAAAAAATACTAATCAAATATGGATCTTAGGGATAGAGTGCATATTTGCTTCAATCTCTAGCACCAAAAGAAAAATAAAAAGAAGATTTAGGCTTCATTCTGGGTTCCGTCATTTGTTCAGTGCCAATTATATGTACAGGCAAAGACTCCTGGTTAATTTTACATAGCCAATTTGATTAATTTTCTATACAGCCGGTGTGCTGAATTTGTTCTTTTAATGATTTACCAAAATAAAGTCTTCTTTAAAGTGATTAACAATTTTAGATCGAACAGAAACTCTTTTACATAAATTAGCTTTTGAAGATGTCTTCAGTGCTTTGTTTGCTCATTTGAAGTGTTGACTGCTTCTGATTTAACTTTTAGTCATTTGAAAGCAGTTGCTTTGCCATGACCAAATTTCAATGCATTTGGGGACTCAGGGTTAGGGATACCCTGAGATTGTGCCAAGCTCCAGGCAAGTCATGCAATGTCATCTCCCTGTCCTGGGCAGGAACCACTGATTATTTTATTTACCTTTAACTTATAATTTATTCAAATTGGATTGCCTCGGTAACCTCTCAAACTTGGTAACTGTCATCACCCCCTCTCCACTCAGGAGGTCAAGAGGCTGATGCGGGGCAGGGGGAGAACTGCTGTCACCCAGCTGAAGGCAGAGGGTTACTCCAGAGGGATGGGGTCGCTAGCCAAAGGCTCAGTTTCCCCTGTCATTCCCTATTTGCTCCACTCTCCGTACCCTCTGGCCCATCTTTGGAAGCCAACTCTGTGTGTGTGCATGTGTGGGTATACACGTGTGCAGGAGCACAAGCTTATGTTTTGCAGCATGTGAAAGTGTGTGTGTGAGCACCCAGACAGGGGTTAGCCTTCACCTACGACTCGTCTCAGTTGTCCCCCTCTTCCTGCCTGTGTTTCTTTGCTTTAGTACCCGAGCAGGCACTTGAGGAAGGTATGCAGGGCAGAGTCAGGGCCAGGTACTGGGGTGCTTCCTTTACCTGGCCAGACTCTGACCTGTCTGCTCAGCTGGGGTAAGGGGCACCCCTCAAACTTGGGTATGCGGTTGCCAACCTCCCTTCTCTGCATTTCAGACTCTGACACAGCCTCAGCCCTTGACTTTGGGGCTAAGTGGAGGGGAACAAACAATTTTCTGAAACTTGAAGAAAAACAAAACCAAAAAAGGATATGTTCCACTTTTCAGGAATAACTTTGGGGAATCAGAAATTCTTAGGCATATTGAATCACAACTGTATAAATTTTGGATGCTCAGGGTATAGTTGTACCTTCCAAAACATTTTTAGTCTATTCTACTGCCTTCTGTACCTCTTTAAATATAAGAATTTATATACCAGCTCAAAATGGACTATTGCTTTTATGGACTAATCATTTGAGAAGTGATCAGCATCTAAAATATGAAAGTACCATCCCACAAAGATGGATTGAAAAGCTTAGTGGCTAGAATGAAAGAGTTGCAGTAAAATTAACACTAAATGAAGCCCAAAGAGGCTGGGCATGGTGGCAAATGCTTGTAATTCCAGCACTTGTGAGGCTGAAGCAGGATGATTACCAAGAGTTTAAGGCCAGCCTGGGCTACATACATAGTGAACTCAAGGCTCAAGGCCAGTCTGAACTACACAGGGAGATTCTGACTCAAAAAAATTAAATTAAAAAGAAAATCTGAAGAGAATTGAAAAGGTATTGTCATTCTAAGCAACATATTTGTAAGGAAGTAATGAAGACAATATTTTGGTAAAGCAATCTGATAAATATCAATAAATAAAACTGGTAAAGTCTGCATGAATCTATTCAGTGAAATCTGTCATTCAATAATCTGGCTTTTTGGATTGAGTAGAAACTTAAATTCGTCTGCTTTTGCCTGTGAAAAAAATAATTTCTCCCTTGTGTTGCTGCTGCTGCTGCTGCTTGTTCTTGTTCTTGTTCTTCTTCCTCCTCCTCCCCCTTCCTCCTCCCCCGCCTCCTCCCCCTCCTCCTCCTCCTCCTCCTCCTCCTCCTCCTCCTCCTCCTCCTCCTTCTCCTCCTCCTCCTCCTCCTCTTCCTGCCCCTCTGCCTCCCCATCCTCGTCCTCCTCGTCTTCCTCCTTGTCTCAGCACATTGCTGAGTTTGGTCTTGAACTGGATTTAAGCAACCCATCTGCTTCAGCTTCTCCTGTAGATTAAACTACAGGTGTATACCACTATACCAGCTTCTTTCCTCAGTTTCTTAGTCTGTAAAATGAGGAGACTAGCACAGTGATACACCACTTCACATCCATTAGTGTAGCTACCATAAAAACAGAAAATAATAAGTGTTGACAAGGATATAAAGAAATTGAAACATTATGTACTGTTGGTGGGCATTTAAATTGGTCTAGATGCTTCGAAAAACTGGAACTTCCTTAAAAAACTAAAAACAGAATTATCATGCGATCCAACAATTCCAGTTCTGGGAAGATATTTAAAAGGAATGAAAGTGGAATCTCATAGAGATACTTCTACACCAATGTTCAGACAGCATTCTTTACACAATAACTGAAGGGAAGAAGTATTGGAAGCACCCCAAATGGACAAAGAGAAGATATTCAATGATAAAAAAGAAGTACATTCTAACACACACTATAACATGGATGAACCTTGAGAACATTATGCTAAATGAAATAAGCCAATCACAAAAAGACAAATATCTAGAGCAGTCAAATTTATAGAGACACGAATAGAAGAATAGTTTCCAGGGTTGAGGAAGCAGCTCACGAGAAGTTATTGGTTTTTTGTTTTTTTGAGACAGGATCTTGCTCTGTAGTCTAGGCTGGCCTGGAACTCACTAGGTAGCCCAGCCTGGCCCTGAGCTTGCGACATTCTCCTGCCTCAGCCTTCTGAGAGCTGGACTCACAGGCTTTCTGGGAAGTTATTGTTATATGGGGACAGAAGTTCCATTTTTAAGATAAAGACAGCTGTGGAGATGATGCTGGTGATGACTACATAGCAATACAAATGAATTTAATACTACTGAACTGTACATTTATAATTGGTTAAGATAGTAAACTTTATGCATATTTTATTATAATTTAAAACACTGAAAAAATGAGGAAGCTAGTAAAGTTCTCTAACATCTCTTTCAATTAGTGAAATTTACAAGTTTTTAGGGTCAAAAGACCATCATGAGTATTGAAACGAAAATTTAAGTGTCGGCTCTGTGAATAAGTTCATGTTGGAGGTTAAGGGGTTGGAAGGGCTTTATGAAGTGCTGTAACACCTCTTAGTGTTGGATCTCATACAATGATAGATTATTATTATTGTTTCGTTTGCATAAATGAATTTGGATAACATAACATGGCTTAGAAGTCTTTAGCAAGATATGATTTATAAATAGCAAGGTCCTGAGCTTGACTCCCACTATCAAAAACAAAAAACAAAACAAATGGGTCTATAAAGTATCTTAAAGGCTTTCCTAAATAGTTTAAATAAACCTTTTCCTTAAATTTAAGATTTCATATTTCACATATTATTTGTTATTTACTGGCTCAGCTATTGAAATCATGCTAAGATGAAGGATGTTTGGATGAATAATTAAGCTGTTATGCGAACCTGTTGGAACCGTAGCATTTACATCTCCACACAGCTATAGTTTTCTTTAGCTTACATATAAACAGCAAAGCTTTTAGATGCATACACACACCCCATGCACACACAAATATATGCTAGAAAGAAAACAACCGATGATGTACTAATAGGAGTCTGAAGAAAGGGATGAGACTTTCAGCTGGGGTGCAGCTCAGCTGGAGAATGCTTACACATGAATGAGCCCCTGGATTCAATCTACAGCTCAGGTGGGAAGGTATGATATTAAATTATTTAAAAACTTAAATCGCATCCTCTGATCCAAAACCTCCAATGGCTTCACAAGAAACTTGGGAGGAGGCGGGAATCTAAAATTAGGCCAGGGATGTAGCTCAGCAGCACAGGTGCCTGCCTGGCAAGTGCGAGGTCTTAAGTTTGATTTCTGATACCAAAAAAAAAAAAAAAAAAAAAAAAAAAATCTAAATTTTACTGTGGCCTGTAATGTTTTGTGTGGCCTGGTGCCCGATTCCCTGTCCAGCACCACTGAGGACCATCGTCTTCTCTCGGTCAACTCTTGCTCTGCTCCAGCACTAAGCAGAACAAGGTTTAGGGCATTTGCACTTGCTGCTCCCTCAGCCTGTGCATTTGTCCCCTTGTCATGGCTACAGCATCGTAGTCTACATCCTCGCTTCCACAGGAAGACTTCCCATCATTGTCTTCTCTTATTGTGTCTCACTGCCTTCATCATCATCTGATGTATTTTGCAATTAACTTTTAGTATACAGCCCTTGAAGGTAGCATAAACTGCATATGAGCAAGGACTGTTTTATATTCTGCCATATCTCTAGTGCTCAGGAAGGTTCTCAGGAAATGCACGTATATGAAGTAAGTTTGTTGAATGAATGACAGAGAAGAATGGTCTTATGTATTAAGCTAAATGGGAATGCAAAGCAGTATGGACAGCAGGAATTTCATTATCGATATACCCATTGAAGAATCTAAAATAAAAGGTGAAAAGTGTGGTATAGTTGCATGTGTCTGCAATCCCAACACTCTGGGGGTGGAGGCAAGAGACAGGAAGTCTGAGCTCAGCCCAGGTATCTTAGAGATTTAGCAAGACTGTCTCAAAAGTAACAAACAAATAAACAGGCTGGGGATGTAACTCAGGGCAAAGGCCATGGGCTCAATCTCCAATACTGAGAGAGAGAGAGAGAGAGAGAGAGAGAGAGAGAGAGAGAGAGCACAAGAGAGATATAAATGAATATGATATAAATGATATAAATGAAAATGTTATCAGTGTTTAAATTATCAGCAGTTTACAGGTACTTTTTATGAGAGAAAAAAGTATGTGCTTTTAAAAAAAGAAGTAACAACCTACCAGTCCATTTAAGTTCTTTATGTTGTTTCTTCCTAAAGACAAGATCCTCAAGTTTTCTGTAGTGGAAAGAAAGCATTTTTCCTTATGAGAATCATATTATATAATTGTTTTAGATCTAGTACAATAACACTTCAATAAATTTTATATAATAAAAAGCCTTGTAAATAACTAAAGTTTTTAGTAAAAATAAGTATTCAGATAAGAAATATCATTGACCTATCATCTAAAATAAGTACTACAACTGTAATTTTACATCATGCCAATATTAATTTTAAAACAGCTCAGTTATTTGGAAAACGTGCTCTTCAGTGTTGGTTAGTAAAAATACAGAGATAAGAGTAAATATTTTACATTTAAAGTTGGAAGTATATGTATTTCAAATATGTAAGAATTTATAGTATAAGAACTCACATGGAAAATAAAAACAAAATATGTTCAGTTCATGTTACTTCATCAAGAATTAGAAGAGACAAGAAATAAATGCAAAAATTTAGATTTAAAAGTATTTAAATAATTTAAAAATCTTTTGTTTTCAATCTTTTTGTTCTGTTTTGGCATTGGAGCTCAAGCCCAGGTCCTTCACAATACGCTGCATCCCCAGTCCTGTTTCATTTTTTTACTTTGACACAAGGTCCTGCTAAGTCATAAACTGCCCAGGCTGAGCTTGGATTTATGATCTTCCTATTTCAGCCTCCCAGAGTACAGGAATTACAGGTATCATGCCCAGCTGTCTTCAATGTAAAAAATACTTAGATTGTGATTTGCCTAAAAAAGTGCCTCTGTACGTTTTTAAAAGAATGCTTCTATTTGTAAATCTGTAGGCTATTTCCAGAAGAGAGAAAGGAAAGAAAGAAATAATGGTTGCCTCTAGGAAGAAACTAAGTTTATGGTCATAAGGACACTTATTTTTCATATAACCTCTCTTGAATCATTTGAATAAAACTACATGCATGTATTACATTTGCAAGTTAAAGAAAAAAGATTTCTAGTAAAATACAGGAAACCATATTTCTGTGAACACTTTTATATAAGTAAAACATTAGGTTTTCACAATTTAAAGTTCCATGACTATTTTGTCTAATACTGTAGTCACTAGTTACATGTGGCTGTTTTGTTTTGTTTTCTTGTTTTTTATTTTTTGAGACAGTCTCTCTATATAATTCAGGCTGGCCTTGAACTCACTATGTAGCCCAAACTGGCCTTGAACTCTCAACAATCCTCCTGCCCAGTCTCTGGAGTCCTGGGATTATAGTTGTATGCCTTGCCCAGCTACATGTGCCTATTTAATTCAAATTAAATTTTTAAATTAAAATTTTAGTTTCTCAGATGCATTAGCCACATTCCAAGGGTTGAATCACTATATTTAGCTATTAGCAACTGTATAAAGAGATTACAGACTGTTCTGTTGCATGTCTTATCCTGTAACAACCATAATTCAATGGTAAGAAATAGATCCAATTAACTACCAACTCTCTAGGAAAGCAGCAAAACCTATCTGAATATCATGTTTGCCATATGTATGACGGGGAAATATAGTATCTATAAGAATGAATTGCTTGTGGTGGTACACATTTGTAATCCTAGCATGTGGGGAGGCAGAGGCAGATTATAAATTTGAATCCAGCCTAGGCAATTTAGCAATTTTGAGAGATCTGGTCTCAAAATAAAAAGTCATTTGAAGCTGGGGACACAGCCCAGTGGCAGAACACTTGCCTTGCACATATAAAGCCCTAAGTTCAAGTCCCAGGATCAATAAAATTTTTATTTAAAAAATTTTTAAAGGGCTGAAATATAGCTTAGTGCAAAGATCCTAGGTTTAATCTTTAGTACGGGGGGGGGATACAAAGATTAAATGAAACAATTAACTAAAACATTCAGTTAGAATGCCTGAGCTATGGTAATTATATAATAAATAACATGCGCATGTATCAGGTACATGTAATTTTGACATAGATTAGGTGTGGCAAAATGGCTAGCAGATTAGGCATGACCAGTTAATTTCAGGATCTCAGAACACATGAACAGAGTGTATCCCAAAGTCTGGCACATGAACTTCTTGAAAGAACAGGAGGTTTTCTTTTCTCCTTTTTCTTTTCCTTTCTTTTTTTTTGAGACAAGGTCTCACTGTGCAGTTCGGGCTGACCTTGAGTTCACTAGATAGCCCAGGCTGGCCTCAAACTCACAGGATCCTCCTACCTCAGCCTCCTGAGTGCTAGGATTACAGGCATGCGCCACCACACCTGGCTCAAAACAGGTTTTCAATAAAATGGCCGGGACCTGAGGTTAGCCTGAGATGTAGGACTCCAGCACTGCCTCTCAGGATCCATATATATAAATTTTTGCAGGTTTACTCAGCATAAAAGAACACAGACACCAAGAAAAGGTTGCTACCCTGGCTTTCCTCACCATAGCCCGCCCTCCAGCGTGTACTGTTCCTATTTCACCTGGCCCAAGCTCGCTCTGCAGAGCCAGTTTCTCTCTCACTCTTCACTTCTACTTTTTCAAATATATTTTGCTACCACTTTTTGCTCATTTCATTCAGCTCTTTGAGACAAAAAGAACAAAGAATCCAACTCCAAGAGAGAGGAGCAACCCAAAACCCAAAACATTTGATTGGTGAGCCACTTTTGGAAGGAGTTACCTGGTAACACCTTGCTTTTATTTTAGATTATCTAATGATAATCTGTAATGGGAATGACCTAACTCACATAAAGGACTGTGTAAAATCCCACGTTATGGGCTGAATGTCTCCTCATAATTTACATCTTTAAATTGTTACCTCCAAAAATCTTACAAAGTGACTGTATTTGGAGACAGGGGCTTTAAAAAGGTATCAAGGTAAAATGAGTTCATATAAGTCGGTCTGAATCCAATAGGACTGCTAAACTTAGAAGAGAAAAGCAGGACACAGGTCCAGGGGAAAAACTATGTGACAATACGGAAAAGCCAAACCAAGAGCGTTTACAAGTCAAAGAGAGCCTCAGAGCATATTAACTCTGCTCAAAACCTGCTCTCAGACTTCTGGTCTCTAGATCCACAGTTTCTTTTAAGTCCCCGTCTCTGTGATTTTGTTTTGGAAGTTATAGCAAACTAATACACTCTATATATAAATTTATGAAAACTAAATATTTAAAAAATCACATAACTTCTCTCTAAAACTTATTGATCTAGGATAATCACCATTTTCTATTATTGTTTTGCTATTTCACATAGTAGCAAAAGATTATTAAGAACTAGGATGTCAAGTGCTGCCTGTCATGTACAAGGGTTAGGTTTGATATGCAGCAAGAAACAAAGGTAGGGAGGAAGAAAGAGAACATTATCTAAAAATGGATTTATTTAATGCATACTTACTGGATACCTACTATACGCCATGAATAATAATAAATAATCTTATATATAGTGAATATATATAAAAAATCCTGATAGCATGAGTAGGTTTAGCTGGCAGGCAGGGGAAGATACCAGGATTCAGTTTTGGATATGTTAAGTATGAAATGTTCAGTAGCCATCCAATGGGATTCAGACAACTGAATATGTTAATTAGGAGTTCAGGAGTTCAGAGAAGACCTTGGAACTACAGATTTAAATTTGGGAACCACAAAAGGAAAGAACAACTGGGATGAGGGAGAGGAGAAAAGAAGGGAATATGAATATATATATGAGAGATAATTATACTATTAATCTGTTAGTTCATCAAAAAGAACAGTTTGTGCTTTCATTGTTTGATCATTTTTTTAAGGAGAAAAAGGAAAAAAACAGGAAAAGGGTACAAGTAATACAAAATTTAAAAAATAAACAGAAAGAAATCACTAGTTAATAGATTACATTTTCTTATCTTAGAAATAGTTGTTCAAGTTACAAAATTGAAGCATACAAAGTGGACTTTCAAACAGTGAGACTGCAAACAGTTTTGTTTAATGATGTTTGATCATTTTTTATACCTATATCTTATAATCTGAGCAACTACTTTAAAGATAACAATATGCAATATATTAACCATTATTAAGCTATTATTTTGTTTAGGAATTCATATTATTTTTATTCTTTTTTTCATTTTAAGATTTAAAAGAGATTTTAAAAAAGACAAAAAATAAATAAACAAATTTGGGGCCATCAGCACATATATGGTAAAACCATGTCTCTGGATGACACAGATAATTCAGGGAATAAGTAAAGATAAGAAGGAAAAGAGATTCAAGAACTGAGTACACGGGCTCTCCAGTACTCAACATTCAGGGACACAAAACTGAGAAGCAGCAGCCAGAAAGACAGGAGGAAGTCAAATACAGTGTTTCAAAGAGGAAAAAGAAATCCACTGTGTCAAAATACATCTTATAACTAAATGAAGATGAGGTTGATTCCAGATAACAAATATATAAACACTCTCTCAAAGATAAGGCCAAATTTAACGTATAAAAGTCCTTTTAAAACACACATACACGAAAATGGTAAAGAATGACTCTAAAAATCTTATTTCTGTATACAGAAATAGGTAAATTATGATGTCAAAGTTAACAGATTAAATGTTCCAATATAACACAATCATATATTTCGTATATTTTTATATGCTGTTTAAACAGGGCACTACTAGAAGGAAAACTTGTTTTTCTCCTTAAAGGTCATACTGGAAACCAAACTAGTGTTTTCAACTTTTTATGCTTACTTGTGACCTAAAAAACTAAAGCATAATTGTTTTTTAGCAAAAATATAAAGAAACCTCTATTTTCTAATCTTTCAAATGAGATTATTGGGCCAGGGATATAGCTCAGCAGCACAGTGCCTGCCTGGCAAGCTTGAAGTCCTGAGTTCAATACCCAGTACAAAAGAGAAAGAAAAGAGAGAGAGAGAGAGAGAGAGAGAGAGAGACAGACAGACAGACAGAGATTATTAATATTCACACTCAGCAATTTTATTATTATTATATATTATTATTATTATTATTATTATTATTATTATTATTGGTACCAGGGATCAAACTCACGACCGTGCACTTGCAAGGCAGGCACTTATGACACTGTTGGCAACTTTTTGTGGGTTCTTGTTTTTGTTTTTGGTATCGGAGATTGAACTCATGACCTTGTGCTTGCCAGGCAGGGGCTTATACCACTCAGCTAAATCCCCGGCCACTCTACAACTTTTTAGTCATGGTTTTGAATGCAGTCTTGTCATGCAGTTTTCCAGGAGTTTTGGTATAATAAATAGTCCTAGGATTATTCTGTCCTATAAATCACCTGTTATATAGGAGCATCTATGTATATCAGATCTTCTCATCACAGCGTGATAGGTACCTTTGCATTTATGAAAGGATAAGAGGTAGAAGGCAAGCTAGAGTTATGCATTCAGTCCTTTTTATAGATAAGTTAGCTTCTTCTTGTCTCTTAGTCACAGATTAACTGTTTCCCCCGGTATAGATTATAGTACTAGCACAACTAAAATGAGTCCAGTAGAACAAATGCCTCTATTCTCTCATTCTGTCTACAGCAGACATCAACCATTGCCAGAGTTTTAAAAATTATTCTCCATATGCTTCCCTGAGAATCACTACCACTGATCAAAATTGGAATATGAGTTAAATGCTACTTCCAGCCCTATGTAGATTATTAGCCATTTTCACTACTTTCTTGGTCATATTTTTAATGAACAAGAAACTGAAATTTATGTGTCATAATAAATAATATGTCATTAATGCAGTCTTATTTGAGCAAGGTACTTCAAATACAGACAAATAAATTAAGGCAGAGAATAAAATTAAATATCCTAAATTGTTTCATGAGTCAGCACAGATGCACAGCTCTAGTGGTTACTACTTCTCTCTAACACAGTGCAGACATGGAGTGGCAGTGCTGAGTCCCATGCTAGAGGTAGAAGAGGATTGGAACAGAAGAGGAAAAGATTAACATGGGATGCTGTCCTCAAAGAACACATTATCTAAAGAGCAGAACACATTCCCAACTACAATAATGGCTAATATTTAATGAGTATTTTATATGTGCCGAGTAATCATTTAAGTAATACCTATATGCTGACTCATTTAATAGTCACAGTAACTACACGAGGTAATTACTATTATAATGTAAGGTTGACTATTATAAATAGTATGTGCTCAAAAACAAGCAATTATGACAATGGAAATTAGAAAAGTCTTTGGGATGGTGACATTCAGATGTGACTTTTTTTGTATTAGAGATTGGACCCAAGCCCTTCACACAAGCTACATCCCAGCCCCCTTTTAATTTTTAATTTTGAGACACAGTCTCACTAAGTTGCCTGGGTTGGGCTCAAACTTCAATTCTCCTGCCTCAGCCTCCCAGAAGGCTGGGGTTGCAAGAGTGCAGTACCATCTTAGGTACTGTTGCTTTGTGAGACAAGCTGATAGTCCAGGCTCGCCTGCAACTTGCTATTTCATTCAAATTGGCCTTGAATTCAAGATCCTTCTGAGTGCTGGAATTAAAGGAGTAACCTACCATGTCTGGTTTCCAAATGTGACATTCTTTTTTTTTTTGTCTTTTTGAGACAGGGTCTTGCTATGCCGGCCTTGAACTCACTGTGTAGCCCAAACTGGTCTCAAATTAGAGGCAATCCTCTTGCTTCAGTCTCCTGAGTGCTGCGATTACAGGTATGTGCACGCTGCCTGGCTTCCCAAATGTAACATTCTTAATTCTTATTTCTTAGAGAACTGTTTATTAAGCAAAGGGAAGCCATTCAAAGGTCTCTGATCTGGGGGAAAGATATAACAATAATATTTTCAGAAAAAAGTTCATCATTGGTATCAATGATGAAGATCAGCTGAAGAACAGAACAAAGAAAATGAAAAATTTAGGATGATATTGTGGCAGTATTTTTCAAACTATGGGTCCTAACCTATTACTGTAATAGGTTATGAAATAAATTTAGTGGAGCATGATCACCATTTTAAAAGAGATCATATTTTAAAAATACATACTAGAACCTATACATAAACATATAATGAATCTATGTGTACTTTTACTTCACAAACTGGTAAAAAAATGATCTAAGGAAAAGCTAATATGATTCTAGATTCAACGTGTAGCTCCTAGAAATGGAAAAGCAACAAATCATTTAAGAATTTCTTTAAAGAATAGCTGGGCATGGTGGCGCACATCTGTAATCACAGCATTCCAGAAGCTGAGGCAGAATGATTACTGTGAGTTCGAGGTCATACTGGGCTACATAGTGAACTCAAGGCAGCCTGAATTATATATTAAGATCCTGGCTAAAAAATATAAAAAAATAAAACAGAATTTACAGAACTTAGTGATGAACTTGGAGGTAGGGCTGAAGAGAAGAAATGAGAGAATGTATTAGGCCAACTAATAGCCTCCCAAGCCAGGCGTGGTGGCTCACTTTGTGATCCCAGCTACTCAAGAGGGTGAGGCAGGACCATTCTGGCCAGCCTGGGTAACGCAGTCACAACCTGTCTCAAAACAAACAGCCGGAAGGTAGCTAGCTCAGTGGCAGATCACTTGCCTAGCATATGAGAGGCCCTGGGTTCAATCCTCAGTACGGGAAGAGGAAAAGCCCCCCAAATGATACTTACATTCTAACCCCTGGAATCTGTGAATACTACCTTGTGTGGGGGAAAAAGTACTTTGCAGGTGTGATTAAATTAATGATCTTGAGATGAGACATAATAATATTCAATATCTAGGAGTACCAAAAATGCAGGCACAGATATCCTCAGGAAGAGGACGAAGAGGAGGAAGGGGAGGAAGGGGAGGAAGAGGAGGAAGAGGAGGAAGAGGAGGAGGAGGAGGAAGAGGAAGAGGAGGAGGAGGAGGAGGAAGAGGAGGAGGCGGCAGAGCCTTGACACAGACAGGAGATGGCAGTTCCTCCACAGAGGCAGAGACTGAAAGATACAGTGAGGACTGAAGGAATATGGTAGCCATCAGAAAATGAAAGAGGCAAGCAGCTTTCCTCAGAGCCTCAGAGGGTATATAGCTTTCTTTTTAGCTCGGTGAAGCTGATTTCCAACTTCCAGTCTCCAAATAAATTTCTGTTGCTCTGTGTCACCAAAGTATAGCAGCCATTAAATGAACTCACTGAGAGTCGGCCTGGTAACTGGGAGGATGGTGATGTCACTGAATCAGCATAAAGAGTAGAGGAAAAACAGATGGTGACGGATTAAATTTTAAACATAACAAATTTGAAATACCTACAAATCCAATCTGAACAGAGAAATGTATAATAAAATCTGACTTTCTATTTAAGTCATCTCAATTTTAATTCTATAAAAAGCTTTAAAAGGTCTTTAAAAATGTTTAGGTCTCATGTAATCTCTAATTTTCTTTGCATAATCAAATTTAAGAACACACACTTTATGCATTCACTTTGTCATCTGACAATTACTGTGGGTAAAACAGGTGCCTGCTTCTGGAATTACATAACGTCTTTGGAATATTTATTCTAATAAGTAGAAAATTTTTTTAAAAACCTGTTAATGTGGATCACTTACTTAAGCCATTCAGGTTGGCAATTCTTTCAATGCAATTTGTAGACAGTGAAAGCTTCCTTTGAAAGAACAAAGAAAAAATGGAATTAATACCACAAGCTTACATTGTATATCAGAAACTATGTATAATGTAAAACAAATATTTGTCATAATTCTCTTTGATTAAATCTTTTTTCTTTTGTCTTGCAGTTTATCCTTTTATTTTTGAAATCTTTTTCTCTTTGATTATAAAAGTTAATATAGATTCATTGTAGAAAATACAAAAAACATTTTTGAGAGCAATTTTATGTTATCAAAAATACTAATAATGTATTCTTTAACTTTACTTCTAGGAATACATCCTACTAAAATATTAACACAAATGTTGAAAGACATACTAAATAAATATATTATTGTAGTAGCAGAAAAATTGAAAATAATCTATCTCTTCAGGAATAGATAATGAAATGCTACTGTACCATTTTTTAAAAAAAGGACTTGTTGTGTGTGGCGGCACATACTAGTAATCCTAGCACTCAGGGAGGTTGAGGCAGGAAGACTACATGAGTTTGAGGACTGCCTAGGCTACACAGTGAGTTCTATACACCCTGAACTACACACCAAGAACCTGTCTCAGAAAAAAGAGAGAGAGAGAGAGACAGAGAGAGAGAGAGAGACAGGGAGAGAGAGATATTGGGCTAGAGGTACTACCTTAGGAAGATATCCCAGAAACATATATTTTGGGGGTTATATTTTTTCATGTACAGAATCATTCAGAAATATGTACTGAAAAAATGTAGTCCTAATTGGTCCACACATTCCACCGGAGAGATTTACTTTTAATAGTTTATGTATATTACTGTACCTATAATTATATAAAAACAAAGTATTTAAAGGGGATATAATTATGCATTCTTTATCATTCTTTCTGAATTAAAATGGTTAATATCTCAGTAAATTTTATGCTAAGAAAGGCTAATTCTGTTGAACACTTAATGTGTGTCCAACTATTCATCTAAATACTTCACCTGCATTAACTATTTTAATTATTATAGTTTTTGAGATAAATATTATTATTTATATTTTACAAATGAAACTTAAGCACAAAGAAGTTAAGCAATTTTCCACAGCCACACAATGTCAGCAGTGTCACACAGCCACAAAGTGACAGGCCAAATTACAACTCAGCTAAGTTTGATTCTCATGCATTTTATTCATTTTTTACCTGCTTGAAACAGCAAAACAATTACTACATACGTAAGAAGCTGGGAAAATCCATATATTTTTTAGTCATCCTCAACTCTTGAGAACTACCAGTAAAAGATGGAGTCCTTTTAAATCTAGTACTATGGTTAGAAAATAATTCTTTAATTCTGTTTCGGCATCCTGCCAAAAGACAGTGCCAACACAAATATAAACAGTTTGATTCTTTTTAGTGATTTGTAAGGTACTTTGAGGTGGAAAATAAAACTTCAAATCTGCCTTTCAGATGGCTTTATGATAAAAACATATTAATGGGCTGGGGATATAGCTCAATGGCACAGCTATATCTTGGCAAATGCAAGGTCTGGGTTTGGTTCTCAGTACCAAAAAGAAGGAAAAAAAAGATATTGAATACTTTAAAACAATCTTTTAGAGATGAGTTCCAAAACTGCACCCAAAACCCACTTATTTATTGCAAAGTGACAACACTCCAATTAAACCTGAATACTGAGATTTTAGTTTAGAAAAAACAACTCACGTACTGGGGATTGAACTCACGACCACATGCTTGCAAGGCAGGCGCTTATGCCGCTGAGCTAAATTCCTAGCCCAACAACTCATGTATTAACAACTTTTGTCTTAAAGGAGAAACAAAAGTACCACAGGTTCATCACTACTTTAAAAGCATGCCTGAAGCCAAAAAAGCACCTTAGGGTGCATCAAACACAGGGAGAAAACATCAGAAAGAACATCAAGGAGTGTATGTATGCAAGAGTCCCATATCAAGAGGTACCAGAGTCCTAAAAACATGGTTATAAGGTATCATGGTATAGTTACCTCACCCTAGCCATCAAGTCCTGCTAAAATTTTTGTATAATATATAGAAAATAAGTGAAAATGAATCAGTATAGATCTGGTACTTAATGTATAAGATAAGTATAATTTGAACTGAGAAGTTTTAAAGAATTAGGATTATCTTAAGTATCAAGTAAGTAAACAGTTCTGACTTTGGTGGATAGTTTTATAAGAGGAGCCAGAGACTTAATGCCAGAGTAAGAGTTTGTCGTGCTACTTGACTTCTCTCAAAAAACCAGGAAATTTCTATTTCCAAACATATTATAAAAATTGAACAGAAAAAATATTATACTGCTCAATATTGCTCTATTAATAATCCTGTTAAGCAATAATCTTTCACATTTGGCTTTGTCAAAAAGAAATTATAATAAACCAAGAAAAACACATAAATTAAAATCACAGAAAAAAAATACTTCCTGGTTTCCGGGTTTAACAGAAGGAAGGAAAACTTGGTAGCAATAGTAGCAGAATGAGAAAAGAGAACTTACTCGCAGTTAGCAAGTGTGGATAAGGAGGCATCCATCTTCTCTATTGGGGGAATCTGGGCATAAAGCTTTATCTCTTTGGCTTCAGATGGCCTCTGACCAGTTTTTTCTTCCTGTGGGAAAAATTAATTTGGAACAGAATGACCCCAAGTTGCAATGTGCACAAGAGGCCAGAATATCCCAAAGCCTTTCAATGCTTGTTTCAAAACAGTTATCAGAATTTAATAATTGCTCAACAACTCTTCACCATTTACTTATTGGAACCTTTAATTGCTGACACTACAACAAAGCTTTTACATGGCTAAATAAGGTGACTATTACCTTACCAAATGGAAATAAGGAAAAAATTAATAACTTTTATTTTTGTAATATTTAAGATCACTTATTTAAGAGTAATCAATTAGTAAAATACAATGAAAATATTTTCCTAAAAAGTCTCACTTGCCTATAAAAAGTTTTTCTCTTAAATGTTAGATTCATGCCTGTAGAATCAACTGTTTTGTCATCTCATCTTTTTTTCTATGTATAGTTCAACTTAAACTAGAATCTCAAGGTAACAAGAATTTTAAAAGACATTGTTTCCAACACAATTGTGATCGAAGCTATCTGTTTTACTCTAATGAACTACCAGGTCCCTGCCTTAGAGTTTAATTTTAGTACTAAGCACACTTTTTAAATTCCCAGAATGTTTTGCCTATTAATATTTTCTGATTACTTCATTACTTAAGAGTTAGTTCTACCATCCTAATAGAACTTGAAGCTCAGGGATTGTTTCCTTGGCATATATTTTCTATAGCTTAGAGCAGTATAAGACACAGAAAAGGTTCATTTAAAAAAAATCAGATCATCACATATTAAAAATAAAAAATATGCAATCAATTAGACAAAAGAGATCTAAGACACCTCCATACAATACTTATTTTTGTGCCATATGGTTGTAGATTAGGAGAGAAAAATATCACCCAGTAAAATAAATGTTAGATTTATCATTTGTGGCAACATGAACGAATGAATGAAATGAATGAATGACTCATTCATTTTAAATAAAATATGCCAGATGCAGAAAGATAAATACTGCAATTTTTACTCATATATAGAAGGTGGGAGCAGAACAGGAGTAACCAGAGGTTGGACAGGAGAGGAAAGAATAAGAGGAGGTTTGGTCAACAGTACCAGGTTACAGTGAGATAAGGGGCCTAAGTTCCAATGTTCTACCGCACAGCAGGATGACTAGAGTGAACACTACTGTGTTATACACTTCAAAGAGTTGTGACAGGATTCTGAATGTTCTTAACCACAAAGAAATGATCTCATCCATCAGCTACTAGATGATACAAAGAAGAATAACGTAAGATTGATTGGAGTCAATGAAAACAGCTGGAGATAGCACAGATGACATAAAATCCAAATCGCAGATGTCATGGCAGAAAATATTCCTGTCAGGGAAAAAGAATTTGACATACAGATAAATGAGGCATATAGAACTCCAATTAGTCATGATAAAAAATCTACAGCAAAGGATATAATTGTTAAAATTCCAGAATTCAACATGAGAAAAGAATATTAAAACTATTAGAGAAAAGAAACAAATTGCCTATAAATAAAAGCCTATCAGAATCACAGCTGACTTCTCAACACAAATCCTCAAGTCAAGCAGAGCTTGGAGTGAAATATTTCAAGCCTTAAAGAAAACAACCTCCAACACAGATTGATGTACCCCACAAAACTATTTTTCAAAATTGATTCAAAAATAAATATGATACTTCTATGAGAAAGAACATCTGAGGAAATTCACCAAACTAGCACTCCAAAATGTTCTGAAAGACAGTCTAGAGAGAGATAACAAGGATTGCAACTCCATGAACCACAACAGAATGAACATATCAGGCAGGACAAGCAACTAAACAGAGGAGCAAAAAGCCAGGCAACAACATGAAACAAGCATGACAAGGTAAGTCAATACATATCATTAATGTTACCGGGCTCAATTCACCAAGCCAAGAAAAAAAAGAAAGAAAGAAAGGCTGGAAGTATGGATTAAGAAGCAAAATGCAACAATATACTGAATACAAGAAACACTTTTAATTTTAAAAGAAAGTCGGAGGGTGGAAAAACAATACTCTATGCCACAGGAATCTAGAAAAAAGCAGCGGCAGGTATTCTATTTGCCGACAAGTTGATTTCAAGCCAAGACAGATTAAGAGAGACACAGAAAGTTGTTACATCATTGTAAAGGGAAAAGTCCAACAGGAAGACATAATAATCATAAATATATATGCAACAATATCAATGTATGCAACTATATAAAATAAACACTAATGGACATAAAAAGTCAAATAAGCACTAATACAATTGTACTGGGGGAATCTCAATACACTACTGTTACAAATAGATAAATCATCTAGACAAAAAAATCAAAACTGAAATTTTAGAACAGGACCAAACTGTTCAACAAATGAACTTAGTTGATGTCTACAGAGGGTTCCATTCCCACATCATTAGAATACACATTCTTCTCAGGTGCACATGGCACATTCTTCAAAATAGACCACATACTACCTCATGCATAGAACATGCTTAAGTAAATGCAAAGGAATTGAAATTATCAGACCATAGTGCAATGAAATTGGAAATCCATGGCTAAAGAAACCACAAGAACTGAATTACATGAAAATTAAATGACATCCTCCTGAATAACCCCTGGGTCACAAATGAAATTAAAGAAATTAGACAGTTTGTACAATTAAATGTTAATGCCAATACAACACACTGGAACTTATGGGACACAATGAAAGCAGTCCTATGAAGGCATTTACAGCAGTGAATTCCCAAATCAGGAAAACAGTAAGCTCAAATAAACAGCTTAATGTTGAACCTCAAGCTTCTAGAAAAAGATGAACAATTCAAGCCCAGTGCTCTTTGAGGGAGGAAATTACAAAGATCAGAGTAGAAATTAATGCATCAGAGAAAAAGAAAACAATACAAAGAATCAATGAATCAAAGAGTTGGTTCTTTGAAAGATTAAATAAAATTGACAAACTCTTAGCTAACTTTAGGTAAAAAAAAAAAAAAAAGGAAGGTAAAGATCCAAATCCACACATGAGAAATAAAAAGGGTAAAATCACAATGAATTCTGTAGAAATTCAGAAGATCGTCTATACCTATTTCAAGAACTTGTATTCCAGTAAGATGGAAAATGCAGAAGAAATGGGTCAGATTCCTAGATACATATAAATTACCAAAGCCGAGTCAAGAAGATATAAAATTCCAAATGAACAAATATCAGTCAATAAAATTGAAGATGTATTAAAAAACCTACCAATAAAGAAAAGCCCAGGCCCTGACAAATTCACTGCTGAATTCTATAAGACATTTAGAGAAGACCTAATAACGCTACTTCTCAAACTCTTTAATGAAATGGAAAGGAAAACAATATTCCCAGATTTCTTCTGGGAAGTAAGCATTACCCTGATACCAAAATCCAGAGAAAGATCCAACTAAAAAAGAGAACTACTGGCCAATCTCCCTAATAAATATAGATTGAAAAAGCCTCAATAAGATACTGGCAAACAGAATGCAGTAAGTCATCAAGAAGATTTTACACCAAGTAAGGTTCATCCCAGGGATGAAGGAATGGTTCAACATATGCAAATCAATAAATGTGATATACCACATTAACACATTCAAGGTAAAAAAAATCCATATCATATAATCATCTCAATAGATACAGAAAAAACATTTGACAAAGTCCAAAACTCATTTATGATAAAACCCTACAGAAAACTGAAATAGAGGGTCTTCATCTCACTCTGAAAAAAGCCATCTATGACAAAGCAACAGCCAACATCTCACTAAATGGACAAAAACCAAAAAGCTTTCACTCTAAAATCAAGAATAAGACAAGGATGTCCACCGTCACCACTCTTACCCAATAAAGTTTTTGTAAGCATTAGCCAGAGCAATTAGAAAAGAAACAGAAATAAATGGAATAAGGATAGGAAAGAAGGAAGTTAAATTATTGTTATTTGTGGATGACATGATTCTCTACATAGAAGAACCCAAAAACTTAACTAAAAGACTACTAGATTTTTTGTTTTTTAATCAGTGCCGGGGAATAAACTCAGGACCGCGCATTTGTAAGGCAAGTGCTTATACCACTGAGGTAAATTCCCAGCCCCTGACTACTAGATTTAATAACCAAATTCAGTAGTGTACTTGGACATAAAGTCAACATCTAATAGCCTTCCTGAACACAAACAACACACTGACTGAGAGAGAAATTAGGAAAACAACACCTTTCACAATAGTATTCAAAAAGATGAAATTCCTAGGAATCAATTTAATGAAGAAAGTGAAAGACCTCTACATTGAAAACTGCAGTATAGGGGCTGGGAATTGAGCTCAGCGGCATAAGCACCTGCCCTGCAAGCAGGCGGTCGTGAGTTCGATCCCCGGTACCAGAAAAAAAAAAAAAATAAATAAATAAAAGAAAACTGCAGTATTCTGAAAAGCGAAATTTGAGAGGATATCAGAGAATGGGAAGACACTCCTTGTTCTTGAGGAGTAAAAACAGCCATACTTCCAAAATCATTGTACAGATTTAATGCAAACTCAATCAAAATCCTGACAGCATGTCTCACAGAATTAGAGAAAATAATCCTAAAATTCATTTGGAACCAGAAGAGACCTAGAATAGCAAGGCAATGTCAAGAACAAAGGAAAGGCAGGGGGGCATCACAATTCCTGACTTTAAATTATAGTACAAATCTATTGTGATGAAAAACAGCATGGTACTGGAAAAAAACAAAATAACATAAAATAAAATAGATCTGAGGATCAGTGTAACAGATTAGAAGACGCAGAAACATCTCCAGACATACTCAGCCACCTTACCTTTGACAAAGGAGCCAAACACACTCACTAGAAGAAAGATAGCCTCTTTAGTAAATGGTGCTGGAAAAACTGGCTTTCCACATGCCAAAGATTAAAACAACCCATAATGCTCACTCTACACTAAACTAAAATTGAAATGGATCAAAGATGTAAATATTAAAACAGAAACACTAAGTCTGCTGGAAGAAAGAATAGATAGAACTCTTTTTTTTTTTTTTCCTGGTCTTTTTGAGACAGGGTTTTTCTATGCAGTTCAGACTGGCCTTGAGCTCACTTTATAGCCCAGGCTGGCAGGCTGGTCTTGAATTTGCAGTGATCCTCCTGCCTCAGCATCCCGAGTGCTGGGATTACAGGCGTGCATCACCCTGCCCAGCTCAGAACTCTTGAAGACACTGGGATAGACAAAGACTTTATGAACAAAACCCCTATTGCACAGGAACTATCACAATGAATCAACTGGGATCTCATATTATTAAAAAGCTTTTGCATAACAAGACAAACCACCAACTTAGTGAAAATACAAAATGCACAATGTGGGAAAAAGTTTTGCCAGTTGTTCCTCAGACAAAGACTGCTACTCAGAATATACAAGAACTAAAAAAAAAAAAAAATCAGACTCCTCAAGTTTAAAGACCTCGTACAAAAATGTGCATCTGAAATAAGTGGGTACTTCTCAGATGAAGAAGCAGAAACTGCAAATAAATATATGACAAAAGGTTCAACATCATGGAAGAAATGCAAATTAAAACAACAGTGGGATTCCATCTCACCCCAGAAAAAATTGTCTATTATCAATAAATCAACCAATAGCAAAAGCTAGCAGGCTATAGGGGAAAAGGAACACTTCTCCATTGTTGGTGCAAGTATGGACTGGTGTAACCACTGTGGAAATAACTGTGGAGATTCTTATCAAAAATAGGACTAGAGCTCCTGAATAGGAATAGCTCCTGAATAATCCAGCTATTCCCTTTCATGGTATCTTCCCGAAAGAATTAAAAGCATCATATCACAGTGATATATGCACACCCATATTTATAGTGGCACAGTTTGTATTGCAAAATCTTGAAAACAGCCCAAATGCCCAGCAACTGATAAATAATGATGTGGTTTTTTTAATACAATGGAGTACTACTCTGCCATAAAGAAGGATAAGACATTTCTAGGTAATGGATGCACTTTGAGACCATACTCTTAAGTGAAATAAACTGGACACACGTGTACATATTGCATTGTTTCTCCAGTGTGAGAAATCGGAAGTGTAAATATAATAGGTATTGTAAAATAGGAAGAAAATATTCAAATGAGAAGGAGAACAAGGGGGGGAGAAGGGGGAAAAGTTAAAAAATGAGAAAAAAGGGTAAAAGCGAAAATAAAACTTTGGTAAATAAGGAGGGGAAGAGGTTAAAGGTAGGGAAGGGGAATGGGAAAAAAAAGAATCAAGTTATATCATATACACATATAAATCATCAATGTGATCATCATATATACCAAAAATGTGCCAATAAAAATCATTTTTGGAAAAAAAAGAAATGATAAATGTTTGAAGTGATGGGTATCATATTGTCATTGCCATAAGCATGTACAATTATGTCAATGAAGAATTTTTTAAATCTTAAAGAAAATGAAAGTGAGCTTGATAATTTTGTATAATCTTAAAAGTCAATAACTGCTGGTGATAATAAAAGCCAGAAATGGAAGTGATAAGCTAAAACAAACAAACAAAAACTCCAGCAGTTATTAAAAATAAAATCCTAAAATCCAATTTAAGGAAAATGAAATCTGAGTGTACTTCATGATATTTTTCTTTAACAAAACATATTTTATTAGATATTTAATCAAACAGAAATAACTTTAGGGCTGGGATACATTTAGGGTTGCAGTACATAAGAAATTTGTAAGTACTAAAGCAAGAATGAAAATGTCTTATTATTCAGTTTACTTTTTCCTGTTCCCCAGACACCTGAAAAGGCTCCTGAAAGACTTTTTTATTCAGCCTACCTATAAAAGCCAAGTGTTCAACATTATGCAACAAACTATGCAGCATAATCAAAGAACTGGGCACAGAAATTCAAGTGTCATCTCTGTAACCTCTCTAAATTCTTTCTAAAACTCTGAATTACAACTTTTGAAATTATAGTATAGTGTATAATGCATGTATATTTACAATGTGGTTTCATCTCTAATATTCCTAGATAAGCATTTTTACTCCATATTCTTCCAGTTGTCTATACATGATTTACATTTGTCTACATTGGATGTCTGTGTCCTCATTTCTATAAGGCTGAAATCATTTTCTAACTAAAGCCTAGACGAGCGATGGGAACCTTGCAGAGCTTTCAGTGATAACAAACATCCTGCTGCAACACACATGACCTAAGTTTGCCACTGCTGGCCTATGACACACGTCATCCTGTCACTTTACAATGACAAAGTTGAAACAGAAAATGTAACATAAAAATTTCAGTCATGTTATAGCAATAGAAGAATCAACCTTGCCATTGTTAAATTTTCAAGAGGTCAGAACTTTTTATCTGAAATTTTTATGCGATATTTGAAGATACAGTTGCAGTTATAATCCAAGTGATGGAGGTGTAGCTCAGTAGTCAAGTGCATCCTAGAATGTGCAAAGCCCTGGGTTCAATCCTCAGTATCATGAAAGCAAACAGAAAGACCCAGAGAGATACTCTGTACAGTTTGCCCAGTTTCCTCCGAGGATATTATTCTGTAAACTATACATTTTATAACTGGGGTATCACTATTAATAAAATCGATCAATTTTATTCAGATAGCCCAAATTTATTCGGGCTCATTTGTATTGTGAATATGTAAACATATGTATGTAGTAAGCTCTAGATAATTTTTTTGTCATGGTCGTGATATTGATGACTGAATCTAGAGCCTTGCACATAATAAGCAAATATTCTACCACTGAGCTGCAGCCCTAGCTCAAATCCTGTGCAGTTTTATCACTAGATTCACGCGTGCAGATTCATGTATTCACTACCACAGAACAGTTTTATTTCCGCAAGAATCTCTTATACTGAATAGACAGAGTTAAATAAGTATCCAAATTTTTCTTGCATGGTTTCTAAAAGAAGGAAAAACTCATACTCACCCATCTTGCTAAGGCTTCTTTGATTGTTGTTGCTTTTGCCTTTAAAAAGAAAAAAGAAGAGGAAGAAGAAAAAGAAACAAGGCGACTTTACCACTGGGATTTTAAAACTTAATTTTCATGCAACAGTTATTAACCTTGGCTTCTACCACTAAAATGATTAATTTCTTTGACACTTTATAAGTAAGATGGTATTTGTATATCTGAAATCAGAATGATTTAAATACCTCTCAGAGCAAATAAGAAAATCATTATGTAATGCTCACATATTTAATTTCCACATGGTTTATAAAAAACATAGTTTTCAAATGTTGACATTAATATATATTTTATTTCATTTGTCATCTACATCTCTTTTTTTTTTTCCATTTTGACACTGAAATTTGTATGTATCTTACAACGAAGAACAATTTACAATTGCCGTGGCAGGATGGTAATGGTAAACTTTTAGGAAAACACTGACAGTTTTATTTCATAAACATGTATTCCTTTATATGTTTACAAAGGATGACACATGACAAAAACGTGTCAGTCTAAGGCATTTAAGAGAACCATTATCGGCTGGGGGTTTAGCTCAGCGGCATAAGCACCTGCCTTGCAAGCAGGCGGTCGTGAGTTCGATCCCTGGTACTGATAAAAAAGGAAAAAGACAAAAAAAAAAAAAAAAAAACCATTATCAGCCAGATGTGGTGGTGAATGCCTGTAATTCCAGCTACTCGAGGCGATGAGGGAGGAAAATCACAATTTCCAGGCTAACCTGGGCAATTTAGAGAGAGAGACCCAGCCTCAAATGCAAAAAGAGAGCTGGGGGATGTAGTTCAGTTGCACAGTAGTTGCCTAGCATGTGTGAGGTCCTAGATTAAAACACTGGCACTGCAAAAACAAAAACTATATTATTAAGTAAAAAATAAAAATTTGAAATGATAAGAAAGCGTTTGTCATGGGGTGTGGCAGCCTGCAGGTGTAATCTTGGCCCTGGGCAGGCTGAGGCTGAAGGATCACTGCAGATTTGAGGCCAGTCTGGGTTATACAGTGAGTTCAAGGCCAGTTTAAATGATATGGTGAGACTCTGTCTCAAAAAAATTTTTTTGGCATTATTTACTCCAACTTTTTTTTGAGAGTATTAGGGTATAAAATAATGTTGCTCCTTATAATCACTATACTCTTAGATTCAATTTAAGAATATATATAAAACTTTGAAGGTACACAAGGGAAGTTCATGTCCTTAATCAATTACTGCTGGAGTTTATTAAAAGAAAATGAAACTTAAACAATAACAAAAGGAATGTTTTAAAAGACATCATTATGTCTAGAGAGTATATACTGATAAATAATACTTGATCAAAAAATTATAAAATAAAATTTAAAATAAAAATATCATAAGTTGAGGAATATGATACTAGGAAAGAAACATGCCTCCAAGTTAAAGTTATCATATTACAGGTGCTACATGGATTTCCATGTTGGTTTTTTTTTGTCTTTTTTGAGATGGGGTCTCGCTATGCAGTTCAGGCTGGCCTTGAGCTCACTTTGTAGCCCAGGCTGGTATCGAACTCACAATGATCCTCCCACCTCAGCCTCCCGAGTGCTGGGATTACAGGCATGAGCCACCATGCTCGGATCCATATCCATGTTTTTTAGCAGCACAATTCATAACAGCTAAATTATGGAAGCAGCCGATATGCCCATCAATATAGAAAGAAAACATAGAATATGGAGTACTAGTCAGTCATAAAAAAGAATAAATTTGAGTCATTTACAGGAAAACAGTTGGGTCTTGGGACCATAATGCTAAGTGAAATAAATCAGATGCAGGTGATTAAATGTCACATTGCTCTTTATGTATTAGTAACTCCCAAAATACAAGTAGTTTTAAAAGAAAATAAATGAAAGACGTTAGGAAATCAGAAGATAGACTTATTGGAGCTTGGATGGAGGAAAAGGAGACAGTAAAAAGGAAAATAAAAATGATCAAGATGCTATATACAGATGTACCAACTCCCCAAGATGAATATAATTATTATATATCACAAAATATTACTAAATGTTAAAACAAGGGATTAAAACAAGTGAGTTTATCATTCAATATTTTTTTTCTTTTGGTACCGGGGATCAAACTCACAACCTTACACTTAACAGGCAAGCGCTTGAGCCACTGAGCTAAATCCTCAGCCCAAATATTCAAGACATTTTAAAAAGTACATCATTGTAAATTCTAAGACAGAAGGAATATAAAGGATGAAGTCAATGAAAAACACAAAAGCGGGGTGTGGTGGCGCATGTCTGTAATCCTGGCACTCAAGAGACTGAGGCAGGAGGATTACCTTGAGTTCACAGCCAGCCTGAACTACACTGGGAGACCTTGTCTCAAAAACCAAAAACCAAAACAAAACAGAGGAAAAATGATGAACAAAACTGCAAAATAGTTCTTTTTTTTTTGTTACCAGGGATTGAACTCATGACCTTATGCTTGCCAAGCAGGTGCTTATGCCACTGAGCTAAATCCCTGGTCCCTGCAAGATAGTTCTTAAACCTCTTCCAAGAGTGGGCTAAAACAAGACATACACAAATTAAAATACAGAATAAATAAGAAGGAACAACGGGCCAGGGATTTAGCTCAGCATCTCAGTTGCTTGGTAAGCATGAGGTCATGAATTCGATCCCTGGTACCAAAAAAAAAAAAAGGAAGAAATAACTACGCACCACAGATGTTTAAAAAATAAAATATTGAGACTAGGTATATAGGTCAGGTGCAAAATCTGAGTTTGATTTCCGGTGCCCTCCCCACAAAAAATCATGAGAAAAAAATGGCAATTGTCTTCAAACCTAGACAAGATATGCATTTCTAGAAAAAATATACGTGTCAAAATTGTCTCCAAAAAATCAGAAAATTTTAATAGACTGATACCACTTAAAACAAATTACATCAAGAGATTTATTCCCATTCTCTCCCATTAAAGCTTCAAACCTAGACAGTAACTTCTAACAAGCTTTCAAGCACTGATATTATCGTACTGGGTATGATGATGTATGTTTGTAACTTTAGATATTCAGGGGGCTGAGGCAAGAAGTTTGCAAGTATCAGGGAAGCCTGGGGAATTCAGTGAAATCTCATTTCAAAATAAAATAAAGAGCTGGGGGTGTAGTTTAGTGGTCTGATAGTACCTAAGGGAAATTAAGTATTCACAGATCTCATAACTGTGTAATTTACAACAACATAATTATATTTCCTAGAGAAATCCACAAAAAGACCCATAAAAGAAAAAACTCATGTCATTGTTTCTAGAAACAGAAGTAATCTAGCTGCCTACGATGGCAATATAAGCTGATATAGGGCAGTAGTTCCCCTTATAGGTAATAGTAGTCAAAAGCTCAAATGCTTAAAGGACCAAGTAGACATCACAGATGGGTAAAGCTAGCCAGGCAGAGTGCAGGTAAATGAGGTAAGTTCTACTCAACTCCAGATAATGGTTGGAGGGTGAAATTGAAGAAAAGAATTATAAAATGTCCACTAATGGTAAGCAGCACTCTTATTTCATTTACCACTAAGAAATGATGCTGCCAGAAGGACCAGACAGATCATCCCTTCACATCATATCCAGTGAATTACCCTAAGCTTTGTTTCAGAATGGAGACATTCTCAACACGATTTGCCTCCATATACAATGACATGGTATGGTTCATACAAAATTCAAAGCCCAGAATAAAATGTTATGTGTATTTAAAAAATAAAGACACTGGGATGGACCTGTGCCTTAGTGGTCGTTTAGCATGCTCAGGGTCCTGGATTCACTCTCTGGCACTACAAAAATATAAAAACATGCATGGGAATTACAAAACTGTAAAAACATGCATGAGAATAATACAGTAAATTCAGGGTGGTGATAACCTCTGGAGATAGACACAACATTTAGGGGCTTGTACTGGGCAATGTGTCTTGTCCTTAAAAAGCCTGAAGCAAGTTTGTCAACATGGTAAGATCTGACAGTTACACAGCACTGAGGTTTCTGTATATTGTTCTCCTTATTTTGTATTACAGATTTTTAAATAAAATTATTTAAAAAAGAAATGATGCTGCCAACTAGAATACAACACTGTATTTTAGTAATGCTAAACATGAAAAAAAATGTTTCCAGTGGTGAAACACGGTATTTCTGATGTTTCAAAGGCCAAAAATCTGAGTTTTAATGTGAAATATAATTTTTAAGACATTGGGAGCTACTATTTAAAAAAGTTTAAATAGTATGTGTGCTTGTATTTCTGGAGCTCCCCAGAACTACCAGTTTGCAGCTTCAGCTGGATTCATTAATGACTGGGTCTGTTCTCTATTTGAAGATCTTTAGTAATCACTTTGGTTCAGAAACTTCTTGCTTCTTTCATGCCCCATTCCTTTGCTCCTGACTGTATCTTTCAGTCTCTACCTCCGTGGTGGAATTGCCATTCCCTTTTCTGTCTGTGTCGAAGCTCTCCCTCCTCCTCCTGAGGATATCTGTGCCTGTATTTTTGGTACTCCTAGATATTGAATTATTATTATGTCTCCATCTCAAGATCATTAATTTAATCACACCTGCAAGGTACTTTTTCCCCACACAATATTCATAGGTTCCAGGGGTTAGAATATAAAGTATCATTTGGGAGGCTTTTTCTTTTCCCATACTGAGGGTTGAACCCAGAGCTCAGCCCCAATACCTATTTTTTTTCCCAATACTTATTCTTTATCAGCATCTGCATCCAGCAGAATAATCAAAGCTAAATAGTTTTGTGTGAGTCCTTTAGCAGTTGGAACTACTAAGTAGATCATAAAGAGAATGCATATTCTATGTAGGAGTTGAAGAGCATCGTAAGGTGAAATAATTATTTCATGAGAGCTCTGACAGGACAGACCACAATAGATTTAAAAATGTGTGACGCTCTCCAATTTTAGAATCACTTGAGGTCCGTTGTGGGAATGCTACTTTCCTTTTAATATGATTTCCCAAAATCATATTAAACATTCATAATCTACATTCCAACAAGTCTATATTTATGCACACTTAAATTTGAAAAACACAGCTCTTATGTATCCACCAGAGTCGGTTTTACAGCGTTATCTACTAACTGCACTCAAGCAGTCTCGGTATACATCAGGTTAGGAATGAATATTGGTGCAATCAATGCCACACGGACTCCTCTTGTAACCAGACCCCATCCCTCTCCATCTTGCCAGGCGTGAGGGCAATTAAAATTACTGCTATGTAAACAGATATCTATCCACAATTCCCTTCACATTACCCTTCCCACTCCGATCTGCTCTTTTTGAAAATTTCCTGCTTTTTATCCTCTCTTCTCTTGGGTCAAAAGTCCCGCCACCTTAACCCAACTTTCAATCAGCCCCAGGCCGTCCTCACCCCAGACCATGCCCAGCCTGGGCTTCTCTCTCGCCCCAGGCCGCTGACTCCATGGAGCTCGCATCGTTATGGGCTCCCTTCAACTGTTCGAGGGCCCTGCCACCCTCGATACTTCACAGTCATCCTTTTCCACGCTCAATCTCCTCTCGGCTTCAGCTACGAGGCCCGGAGGGTACTCACCATTCCAGCGGTTGCTACTGTCACTGCTCTGGTTGCTAGGGCCCGCTGGGGTCAGTGCGCATGCGCACTTCTCGGAGCTCGCCGTGGATGGCGGCCGGGCAGCTGTCCTTTCTCTCCGCCCTTAGGGTGGCGCGAGCGAGCGGAGCATTGTGGGACGGCGCGGCGGCCAGCGCGGTCCTCCGCTAATGTTAGGGTCTCCAAGGGCTTCCCATAATAATGTCGGTGTGGTCGGATGTGTTTTTGTTTACCGAAAATATCAGCTGATCGAAAGTGTAGTTCTTGTCCTCGGTAGCACTTACCTTTATCATAAAGGAACTTTTAAAATTCCTTTCCCCTAGAGAGTGACTGGGGCGAATAAACTACCTGCTGTAGTTCTCGATAGCTGTTCGGGATTTCCCAGAGCTAAAGGTGATCAGATTTAATTTCTTAGCCCAGAGCCCTGAAAACTCCACTTTCCATGTAAAATATCACAGAACATCGGTTTTACATATTTAGAGTGCCTTTTCCACTTAAGCAAATAGCTAAAATTTGGAGAGACATAAGTACTTTTCTAGCGCTGTTAGCTATACGGAGAACAGGGACGCACAAATACGGTTTGTAGTGATACAGCATTTCCAGAGGACCGTGGCAATACGTATTAAATTCGAGTTCCACTTCTAGGACTTCATCCTAAAGAGTTATATCTGTATTTTTATATTTCAAAGCTTTAATGGCAAAAGGAATATTAAATTGTCAACAAAAGAACTGGCTAAGTAGTTTTAGATATCCAAACACTGATACATCTCTATTTTTTAAAAATGCTAAAAAATTTTCTGAAAGGCATCTATTAAGACACAAAGATACACATGATATTTTAAGTAAAAACACAAGTTATCAAACAAAAATTTGTGTGATCCTCTTTAAAAAGTATACATAGTATACAAATATATGCATATTACTAAAGTATAATGGTTGTGAGACAGAATCATGTGCCCACAAAATTAATATGTTGAAGTCCTAACCCCCATAGCAGTTTTTGGATACAGGGCCTTTAGGCTTAAGTGAGGCCACAGTGGAGGGGTCATAATCTAATAGGATTGGTGTCTTTCTAAGAATTATAAGAGATAAGAAGCCAAACACAGAGGAAAGCACATGTAAGGACCTTACTGAAAATAATCCCACCAGCACCTTGGTCTTGAATATGCAGCCTCCAGAACTGAGAGAAAATAAATGTGTTGTTTTAGCCACCCAATCTGTGGTATTTTATCATCCCAAGCAGACTAACCTAATGCTTGTCTATCTTTTGATTATTTCATAATGTGAATGTAATAATGTTTTTTGAATGTCTTAATTTTTGAAGTAAATAAAATTTACTGGAAAAAAGGCAATTGAATCACATTGTAAGAAAAACAACAAATACTAGCTAGGAATAGTGGTGTAAATCTATAATCCCAACACTCTTGAGGCTGGGGCAGGAGGACACAAATTTGAACCCAGCTTGGGCAATTTTGAGACTTAGCCACCATCTTCAAATAAAAAATTAAAAACAAGGCCCAAAGATGTAGCTCAGTGCAAAGACACTGAGTTCAATCCCCAATACATCTTCAAAAACAAAACATAACAAAACAAACCTAAGATATTTATTAAAGACAAAAAAAAAAAAAAAAAAAAAAAAAAAAAAAAAGAAAATTAAAATGTATATCATAGCATAACAAGTTTTTGTTCTTGGAGTGATTTTGAGAAGACTTCCACACTTTCCACCTTTCTCAACTACACTTTTTCTTTACCTGCCAAAATCTTCTAGTAATTTTGTGTATATGCTATAACAGAAATCTAAATCTCAAATATATCTGATAGCCCAGCAGAATATTAATTTTACTCAGAGCTGTGGATCATTCCATATGGAATTTTATTAGTGAAGAATAATAAATCATCATGCTTATTTAGAGCATTGCTTCTATTTTCATTTTGTCATTGCGTAATCTTAAATTTTGACCACAAATACATTTTATTTCCCACTAATATAAACAGTATTTATCAAAAATTTATTTTCTCTATAAATTAATTCACAATATCTTAGCAATTTCATATCAAGGACATTTTGAGTTTCAAATTTTTAAAGGCTAAAATCATTCGCATAGGAAACAAAAGAATTACATAACTTGGATCTTTCCTTTTTTTATAGCCCACAGAATGAACAAATAGATTCTAACAACTGCTCACCATAGTATATGGCTTTGAGTTTACTTGCTTTTATTTTAGGCCTGGACAAAGAACCTTTAGTGATAATCTCAAACTAAAAAATTAAAAGGGGCTGAAGATGCAGTTTAGTGTAAAGGAACTTGGTATTGAAGTATTGAAGCTGTGCAGTGGCTCATCCTGTGGTCTCAGCTACTTCGGAGTTAGGCAGAGACAGGAAGACTGCAAATTAATTGCTTGGGCAATTTAGCAAAATAAAACACAGAGGAGGCTGCGGATGCAGCTCAGTGATGGAGCATTTGTCCACAGTAGGATGTGCCAAGCCCTCATTTCAATTCCCATACCACAACAAACAAAAAGTGTTGGAAGAAATTTACAAAATTCAGAAAATCTAGCAGCTTCTTTGATAAGTGTAGGTAAAATTATGTTAAATGGTAGAAAACAGAATCAAGGGATTAGGAATCGGGAAACCTTTACTTTTTAAATACAAATGTGAATTGGATGAAAAAATTGTCATACCTAACAGCCCCTAAACTAGTCCAGCTATGGGACAGAAGGGATGAGGGAGCACAATTTTTGCTTTTTCATTAATGATGCTGAATTACACAAATCTATACCCTGAAGAAATTATGATCTGTGGCCTAGCACAACATTAACAGTGTATAGTTTTGTACACAGAAAATTTAAAGTGTATTGTTTTTTTATGAATGATTTTGGAAGGGTATGCTTCAAGTTGGTAATAGTAACTACTTTCGTTAAAAGACTGGAATTGGGTAATGAGTGAAGAAACTTTTATCTGTATTACTTGAATCTTTTACAGTAAAGAATGTATTGTCATATACATAAAAATTTTTTTCTACTACAGAATATCTTATTTGAATGCATGTCTACAGTGGGGTTAATTACCTTACATACTCCATTAAACTTTGTCAAGGGAGAGAGGTATATATGTATTTTGGGAAACAGTTCTATTTCTAGATATTTGAAATTTTAAATTTTTAAAATTTATTTCTTATTAGTATATGTTTACAGTACATGTTTACATTTCTAGTATAGAATTATTACATGTGCATAACACATTTTAATTCCTTTTTTAACCCCCTTTCCTTGCCCTCATTCCCCTCCTCCATCTCTTGATTCCCTTCCCATTTGCAAATATTGTATTTCAGTTACCCATAAATAAAACAAGAATTGTCAGGCATCTTGATTTCTGAATCTACTCGCCACTGAAACATATGGCTACTGCACCATGAATTTCTGGTTTAGAGCCATCTAATAAACTGTTGTCTTTTTTTAAAAAAATTTATTTAAAGAAAGAAAGAAGAGAAAATTTTAAAAAATAGAAAAAGCAAGAAAAAAGTAGAATACAGAATTCAAAAAAAATAACATCATAAAATCACTAGTTGATACATTACATATTGTCATCCTAACAATAGTTGTCAAAGTTACAAAATCAAAGCATAAAAAGTGGCTAGACATTCAAACATTGACAGTGCAATTTGCTAAACTCTTCCTGTCTTTGGTTCTTCAGTCATACTTATACATATACAGCTGACTTCCACTTTGAGAAAAATGACTCAAATAAATTTAATTTCTGCCTCCAAATCCATTATTATTGATTAATCCAAGAATACTGTATTTTATACATAGCTGCATGCTAATATGTGAAAAACTACCAGGCCATCCACAAACTTTTGTCTTCCTAGAGTTCAGTCACTATTTTAAGAATATACTTCAGAAGAATTGAAAAATCCTGTTTTCAGTTGCCTGAAATAAGTAATGGGTTTGTACAAATATTCTTAAAATGATTACTGGTTGACAAATCACATATTTGCTTTCAAAGTGGGCTCTCTGATATAGATACAGTCAAGGATATTGAGTTTATGAAAGAAAGTAGAACAATGAGTTGAATTCAGTTATATATGTATTATTTTTAATTTGTTAAATTTATTTAAAAATAATGCCTAGAAGCCTACCAGTATGAATACCAGGTGATATTTCCATTGTATATATTATGTAATGTTTTAATTAGGTTAAACATGGCTCTTGTCTCAAACATTTATTATATCTATATGAAAACATTCAAAAGCCTTCCAGCTTTTTGAAATATACAGTACATTATCATTATCCATAGTTACTCCTCCTGTGTCTGGCACACACTTCTCACTCCCATTTACAATCTTCCTCGCTCACTCTCTCCTCGTATCTACAGCCTCTAGTAACCACCATTCTCAACTTGCTTATATCTGCGGATTTTCTATTTGTTTTCCTTTTAAAAACTTGATTGAATCCTTTTTAGGGTTAATCTGCTTTGAGCCACTAAGTCTCAAGGAAAAATTAATGGTAGCCTTTTGAAAAAAAAATAATCATGCTAAAAATGATTTCTTATTTATCATTTCAAAGTTAAACTCTCCAACTTGGCTTATGATGACTCCATTATGTGATCATAACTTAAATTTCCCATGGTCTTCACAGTATAGCTCAAGATGAACGGCAGCAGGGCCAAATGGTCAATGAGGGGCATGGGGACAGCCTGAGACCATCACAGGACAAAGAGCAAGTACTGGGTCTTTAACCTGTTACTCATTAAAAGTATGATTTGTGTTTTTTTCTGAGGCAGTCAGAGTTTTAAAAACTACTTTTATGAAAATATAGTCACTTGAGCCCTCAGATACCGATTGTTAACTACTTTTTTCTTTTTTTGTCTTTTTTGAAACAGGGTCTCGCTATGAAGTTCAGGCTGGCCTTGAGCTCACTTTGTAGCCCAGGCTGGTCTTGAACTGACAACGATCCTCCCACCTCAGCCTCCCAGGTGCTGGGATTACAGGCGTTAGCCACCATGCCCGGTTTGTTAACTACTTTTTTATTTTGTACATATCTAAAACTTGGGTTTAGATCCCTGCTGACTCTGTACATAGCTGTATTGTTTAGAAAGTATCTGTCT